ACTTCTTTTCAAAGGAAGACAGGTCATCGAATGCGTAACCTACGGAGAAGAAATTTGATTTCGCGATTTCCGCAATCTATCTGACTGAACGCGAAAACAGAATTGATTCAGAGGATAATAATAAAATGGTAGGAAGTTGTGAACGTAGGGATGCCATATCCGCAGGATTGGGAAGGCCCGCGAAACAGGCAAAAAAGGGAGAAACCGAGACCCAGTATAAGGAAAAAAATTTGACTGGTAATGGTGAAAGAATAAATTCTCTGTCTAAACACGGATGAGAACGATTCAAGATTCTCCCAATCATAAACCAGAATAAGGACTCCAACAAAAGATCTGACTTCTCGCTTTCCATAAAACGGGCGCAGAATGATTGTGAAAAGGAAACAGCTCCTGAAATGAATCGAAAGACTCGTGTCAAAGCCGCCCCGTCATGGGAGCATTCCAGCCATCAGAGTAGCTCCTCCTTTGATGTCTCAATCAGTAGGAAGGAGCACGGTTCCAGCATGTCAAGGAATACTCTCAAAAGTACAAATATGAAATACGCGCAGAAAGTCCAAATCATCGAACGGAAAGGAACACATTTTGATAATCCCAGTGTGAGAGTGGCCCAGGGACCTGGTACCCAAGTCAGAGGAGCATTCCAGCCATCAGAGTAGCTCCTTCTTTGAGGTCTCAAGTAGTGGGAAGGAGCAAGGTTCCAGCATGTCAAGGAATACTCTCAAAAGTGCAAATATGAAAGACGCGCAGAGAGTCCAAAAAATCGAACGGAAAGGAACACATTTTGATAATCCCAGTGTGAGTAGAATCTTGACGTAAAAGATCTTCTTCGTCAATCGCTTGTGGGTGTGATCCCGGAATGCTATAGTTTTCATTATCACGGCAGGGAGTTGAATCTTTTTTACCGTCGGAGTCGATTGCCGCAATTCGGGCAATATTTGGAGAGTGCGTGTCGTGCCGGCGAAGGTGGTGTAATTAAGGAGGTGTAATTACCGAACTACCTTCGTTCTTTCCTATGCAGATCCACACCTCATGACGATAACATGGCTGTCCGTTTCTCATCTGAGCAGTCAAGCGATAGGAAATTAGCAACAAATAAAAATCATCTAGTTTTAAGAAATTCACCTTGAGTCGCCACAAAACAAAATCATCAAAAGAAAAGTTAGCAATGCTACGTAGTCAGCACGTGAGTTCGCGTAGTCGGGCTCCACCAGGTGTAATTTCCGAGGGTAACATGGATACTGCGAGTGGTGTCGAATTACCTAAGGAAAATTAGGAAAATCGTCAACACCAGGGAGAATCTCAGTTTTTGCCCCAAAAAGGATGTGATGTTTATGAAAGTGGCTGAGCCAAAAAGGAAGCAGCAGCAACAGACGTAAAATCGAGAAACTTGAACACACATTCAAATGAATGGTGCGTGTTCCCGCCACAGCGGATCACCTCCTAAACAGACGGTTGCAAAGGAAGGACCACCTAAAAGGTTAGAAACAAGCTCAGGAGTTATAAACATTTTGAGTCAGAATTCGCTTGGACCAACAGTTTGGTTCAGAAATAAGTACATTACTGTATTGACCGCTGATCTTTCTCCTTATTTTACATCCCTGTACCTCTCCCTGGTGAATATCCTCTACCCCAATACCAGACGCCTTCCGAACGCCATGATAACAGAAGCCCAATTTGTGCTTGTGTGTCGTTATTTGTTGAAATCACGTATCGACCATGTATATTCGAAAGTTTCAGGACGAAGAGTAGATGGAAGAATCGTTATGCCAAAAGAAGTTTACATGCCAAAGGCGCTGTCCGACTTAATCAATGGTGTAGGATTCATCACCGCACAAGGAGGCTGCTTAAAGCTGTGCCCAAAACCGGAGCCCAACCCACAAGAAGCTGCTCAAAGACTTGGAACCCTAGTGACCTACGAAAACTTGGAGAATTTCTCCCTGTTAATAGAGGCCTGCACTTACAGGAACTTGATTCAGAGTGGATTATTAAGCTCTGTAACGTTAGAAACCGCTTGGTGGATGCTATCCGCCCGGAAGATTGACGACCCCTCCACAGTTGCTGATGGAGATGAAGAGGACGTGAAAATCCTATCTTGTTTAAAAGAGTTCACACCCGCTGATGCTGTATATTGTGCTCTTGCTCAAAGGCAGAACACCGGTATCGAAGAGGGAATCGACATTGGAATGAAATACACTGGAGATGACATCTTTGGAATCCCTTCACTTAGATCAATTTATAATGTTAGAGCCTAATGTATTATAACTGATTGTAACTAACCCCTTTTTATCTGTTTTGAACATTTGTATATTTGTTTTATTAATAAACGGAAAATAGGGTACGTCGAGAGACACCATCTCGACAAACCCGAATGTTTGCCGATGGTATACCACAGGGTAATTCCGGCGCGACCTTGGCTTCTGGAGCCACATGATTCTCTCCTATTAATTATCTACTCTCTTTGTTAAAATTCTCTTGCTCCCTTTTTTATACTTTTATATCGTGTTATGAACTGGTCTTTTATATGTCTCTACCTTGTACTTCTGTATTCTTTTTAATAAAGGTCTAAATGCTAAAAAAAAAAAAAAAAATCGTCAGGGCCGCCGATTATTACAAGTTTTGCGAACCCCTGCTAGACACCAACGACCCTGAACTGTTCTGGGAGCAGTTCGAAGCTTGGCAAGATCGCCGATGATGTCATCTTGAACGTGCGGCCGCCCTCGCCTTGGTAGAACGGCGTCGACAAGACCGCGCTGCCACCACCGCCGCTCGCCGACGACGAGAGAAGAACGCGAAAGCGAACGGCGTCGCCACCGCTCTAATCTCGTCGAAGAACGCCGGCAAGACACTGTGCAGTGGGTCCCCCCTCCGTCTCCCCAAATTCAAATTTTCCCGCCGTTGGGTTCTGGGCGTCTGCGCGTGAGCAGACAGATTCCTGTCTGTTCCTGCGCAGACCCCAAGCCGGCATTCAAGTTTTTGCTGTTCGCTCTTTCGGATCGTTTCCGTTCGTTTTCCATCCTCGGACCCTTTCATTTTCTTAAAAGATGTGAGTACATTATTGTGAGTTGGTCCCCTTTAGGGGCCAACTATGTCGTTTCTTTTTTTTTGAGCTTCCGCTCCGGCCAGCTCGCGGGTGATTGCTTTTTCTTTTTAGTTTGATCTCCAGTCCATTTCGTGTTCGCTTAAGCCCCACGGCATGGCCATCTCATATACCTACGTGTTCATTATTGTGTTGACCTTTTCCTGTTTCCTGTTCTTCATTTGTCTATAGTACGGCCAGCCGGACCCGTACAACACCTCCCGCTCGAGGCAGCCCCACCTCGTCAGGTCACGCACCCTGCGGTGCGTTTGGTGCTACCGCGAGCATATTTCCTTGTCGTGCCCAAAACTCCTGGCCTTGGCCCCGGCAGATCGACTTCAGCTTGTGGAGTCGCATGACAGGTACCCCAACTGCCTAGGGACTCATCGGGCAAGCCGCTGCCAGTATTCGAAGAAGAGCCGCTTTTGCCGAGAACGGCATCACTCGATCCTCCACCATGCCTTCTCCACGGCAGACTTTCGCTCGCCGGCCACGGACCTGTTGACCAGACAGTCGAGCCCGGGTCCATCCGCTCCCGAGAGGCGCCGACCAAAGTCCGTGCGCTTCGCCGAGCCCATCGCCTCCGTCATGGACGGCTTGGAAGCCGACGTTACAGTTCCAGTGTTCCAAGCACGTCTCCTATACCGCCGTCAGCGACTGTCCACCGACTGGGACAAGCCCAGCGCAATCGTGACCCCTGACGCGGTCTACGAGATCTTGTAGATCTTGTAGACTACCCATGGCTCCGCCAGGCTTAGCCTGCTTTACCGCCGCTCCTAGAGCGCTTTTCCGCAGCTTTTCAAGCTCCTTCTACGTACTTGGACCTTTCTCCGCCTGGGGATGTTTCATCTTTCCGTTTTCGATGAGTGATGTTTACACAGCCTGTCTATCTGATGATTGTAATAGTGTTTTCTGTTGGATTTTAGGTGGACGCCGAAAAATACGTGCTTATCTTGAGAATACGAAGCAGAATCGAAGAGCTTGAACACAAGTTCCTGGTAAAAAAACCCCGGGGTTGGTCGCGAGTATCCAAATGGACAACGATTTTAACAGAGAACATTAATGATGACAGGCTAAAGAGGCAGCCGGAGTTGCAGGATTTCCGGGACTCTATCACAGACAAAGATTTACTTATCCATGTTATCCACGAACTGTACGGAGATTTTAGCGATGCCACCGCGCATAACGTAAAATATACCATGAAATCCGATAAGGTATCGATCGAAGAAATGCTTGTTAATGTCGGTATTCTCCCCGACGACCGGAAAGTTGAAGCAATACATATACTCCTTCAACCAATAAAAAATAGAAGGGTGAAGATGATGTCAGAGTGAAGTGTGATATCCACAATTTTACAAGGAAACCTACCTATTCACTATGCTAATAGGAAATAGTATATAAATTTTCTTTTTTTCCAGTATTTCGATTTCTTTTTCTTAAATTTTTATTACATATAATATAGTGTCAATCGAGTAAAGAGTTGTATCGATATACAGGGTTATTCAAAAGTTACACACCACTGGCCATAACTTTAGTTCACGCGAAGGACGCCACAAACCGCAAATCGATATCGAACTAAAATTATAGCCAGTGGTGCGTAACTTTTGAATAACCCTGTATTCAAAATGATTCAAGATGCAGAATATCACCAGTCGATTTGACCAAGATTGCCAGTCATTTCATTCAGCTATCTGGCAACGCAACACAATGAACCAGTGTGTTGTGTTCTTCCTTATCCGTGGTAAGGCTGGGGCCTTTCTGGACCTAGGTCAGGATTCTAACGAAAATGTAAGTAATATTCCCTTAAACATATTGTTTTATAATTGTATAAGCCCCGAGGAATATTTTTTGACTGTTGAGGCTAGCATTCTGTGTCTGGAACCCTTTGAACTCCGCAGCTGCCTGATAAAAATAGCACGACGATGACGAAGGGTATTTCATATGTAGATGCAGAATATCACCAGTCGATTTGACCAAGATTGCCAGTCATTTCATTCAGCTATCTGGCAACGCAACGCAATGAACCAGTGTGTTGTGTTCTTCCTTATCCGTGGTACGGCTGGGGCCTTTCTGGACCTAGGTCAGGATTCTAACGAAAATGTAAGTATACCTTATTTTTCAAACATCCACCTGATCAGTATTCTTGAACGATACCGGGAAGATACTAACACAACCCTTTACCGTGATAACTTCTTATCTATAGGAGATCCACGATTGACAAGGAATTTGATCAAAACTTTCCTCTTCAAAGTGTTAGCATTTTATAATGATAACGAATCGATTGAAGAATCGCATGTCATTTATTAAACCAAGTAAATTTCCCAAAATTTTCCAATACCTCAGACAATATGAGTGAACAACTCAAAGTAGAAATTTCTAGCATGCAACAAATCCTCCTCGCTCAACAAGTGGAAATTGAAAGACTAAAAAAAAGAGGCCCCTGTAATTAATCTTGAGCATTTTCAGCAAATTCTTGTCTCGCAACAAGATGATGTTGAAAAAAGAAAAAAATCAGACCTATCCTATCGTTTAGCAGGAAGCGATATTAAAGCCATTCCTGTTTTAAATCAAGATCCTCAACTTCTGCCCCATTTTGTAAAAATTTGTGAAAAACTCGTCAAAGATTTTTATATCACCAACGATGAAAATCATATTCAAAATACTAGATTAATCAGAGGAATCTAAATTAAATTAACTCGTCTTCTATTGCAGATCGACGGATAAATTGTCCCCGGTGTTAATCATATGTTCACATGTTTTAGCTTCGAGTTTAGTATTTATACTTTCTATTTCTATACCTGCAACAAATGATTTTTTTTAAAAGCAATCTGTATAAATACAAACCAAAACTCGCGCGTGGACAGACGAATAGCAGAGGCTACCAGAGAAAAGATACCTCCAGAACACAAAACAAAAAAAATCAAGGTTCCTGCTTAAAAGAGGAACAAACCAAGTCCGATTACATCAAAGCGATATGATATAAATTCTAAAACGATTCGAACGAAAAAGGCGGTAGTGTGAAAAAATCTCGCAAAACTTGGTTGATTAGTGTTAAGATTGTTTTTATTTATTTTAAGTTTTTTTCTAGCCCGCGTTAGGAGGCCGAAGCAATGAGCGTGGCGCAGATTGTTAAAAATAGGTCACTTTAGACCAACGCTTGGCATCAATGTGTCTAGTGCGCCAACCCAAGAAATGCTGATGCCACACTTATGGCGTCGCCTGTTTTCTCACTTTCCGTCGGAGTTTAGTCATGTACGCTTTCTCTCATAGTGATCAACTTGTGATGAATAATAAATCGAGAAATACATTTCCAATTCCGTCTTGGTTGATTTGACCAAAAATCAAGTAGTTTTAACAGATTATAGGACAGCATTTTGAAGTGCGCATTTTTCGAATAATTGAACAATTTTTTTACACAAGAAAAAAAACAAAAAAAAGTTCGAGATGGACATATTTGACTGGTTCAACGACAAGGAGGTCACCGTGACAAACGAAATGAATGCGCACGATATTACATGCTACGCGTTGATTGGTGTGCTTATACTTGTGGTAATTCTGTTTATTGTGTATCACAAGTGCAAAAAGCTACACAAAGCTGATCTTGCGCTGAACGAAGAAATTACGGAGCTACGAGAGATCATGCGCAACTGCTAAAAGTGTTACTGAACCTTCGGGCGCATACTTTGCCAATTAATAATAATAACTAGTCTAATTATTAGTCTCTCTAGACTAACCAGCACTCGCTAGGTGTATCATTCCTCTTGTCAAGAAGAATGCAAGTCGTTCCGAAAAATGGCTCGCTTTTACCCAGACGTGCCAAATCTGAATAATGACATGCCTTTGGTGCAACACTCCTCTAATCCTTACCATCCTTTGAACAATCCTAACCATAAACCGACAATTGTCTCCGCGCTAGCGACTCCGAGTGATGACGTTTCCGTAAGCGCAAAGACGATCAAAGGTAATAGTTAGAGATAAAAAATTAAATATGAAATGAAGCTTGATAATGCTGAAAGACATTTGAATGGAGCCAATCCCCAGGTGAAGATGTGGTCAGAGTTGAGAAAACATCTCCTCTGGTTTGTCTTCGCCTGGCTAGTTATTGCTGTTTTCTCCGACACTGACCAGATGGCTGATTGGATGGCTGGTCACCATCTCTGCGACATCATTGGTCATAAGGCGACCATTCGTGTACATGGTTCAATGAAATGGGATAATGCTCTAGGGAAGTTCTATGTCTTTAAAACTCACATATTCAACGAAACTAGTCAAGACAGGACGATTCTTTGCACAACCAGATGTGTACCAGAAGGTGGGTATGCCCCCATTAACGCTACATGGTTGGAGACGGCTAACTATCTGACAACTCGACTGTTCATTTGGAATCATACTCCAATCGTGTGTTTGGCGTGCATGTTGAGTTTTGTTGCCTGCTTTCTTGCTTTGAAGAGTGCTGATGCGACTAAACGAGTTTTCTTGGGGGAGAAGATCGAATCTACCTTGGTGCTAAAGGCTATTAGAGAGGGTGAAGATATCAAAGGTAAGAAGTCAGATTATACTTCTAAAGACGGTAAAATCCATCATGAAGGGAGTAAACCGCTCTCCTCTCGGAAGCCAAAGGCATTGTCAACTACTGCTACTTTGGACAATAATGAGCCCATGATGGCAGAGGCTTTTTCCACTTTCAGCATTGCTGCAATACAGGAGGTACCTAAGGATAAGGTCATTTATAATGATTATTCCGATTTTTTTCCCCCATTGATGCTGTGTTTTGACTTTGCCCGGAAGTGGCGACCACAGCCCATGAAACAATACTAGTCAAAGTGAACGATCCATTAATCCCTGCTATCACAGTTAAGTTCATCAAAAAACACCTATTGAAAGATATTGGAAACGTCTCTATCAAAATGAGGGATGCCTCTGATCGCCTTCATAAGTGCCATGAACTACCTACAGACATTGACATTTTTCTTCTTTCTCTAATAATGAAAATTCGAAAAAGAGCTGTGAGGCAAAAACGCCAGATCACACGAAAAAGTTGTTGTTTTGGAACTTCTTACAATAAAAATAATTTGTTAAATGTGACCATTTGATTAGAAATACAAAATTCAGAAAGTTTTGGTGTGTTACCAAATGTCCAGTATTTGAACCTCCACATTGAGGAAATACCTTCCCAAACCTAAAAAAATAATCTTGTCCCGTCTTCTAATGTGAGTAACATTACCTGAGTATGGTATAGTCTTACAATTAATCATTTTTTTTCTTCAAGAGCAGCTAGTAATGGTGCGATTTTCACTGCAACAGATTTATCTGCTTTGGCTTGAATGAACCGCAATGATTCTCGATCACGCTGAGCAAAAGCCAGTTTTGCTGCTTCCTCATGCATCCTGAACAAGAAAAAATTTGATTAAGCGCTACACATTTTGGGGATGATTCATGTTTTAAAGACAGTTCATAACAACAGAAAATGACACCAAAGAGTATGTCAATAGCCAATCTCCTGTGACAATGCAGACTTCCTGTCATACTTTATTTTCTTCTTTGGGAAGCTGATCGATGGAACTCCTTGAATATTTCCTTGATTTTTCTTTTGTCAGCAGAATATACTGCGTGAGTATCAGGCTAACAGTTGGCTTGTTTCTCTTTGAAAAAAAAAATAAGAGCAAAAATTTTGAGACATCAAAAGAGAGATATGTGGTTTTGCATTTTGGTCATTGATGTGGAATTTCTCTCAAGGTGGAAACGGATTTTGGAGCTGAGGAAATGGATTTTCAGGGGAGTGGGGGGGGGGGGGATTTTTATCTAGACAAAGTGATACGGTGTTTTGCAGCCGATTGTGCACTACATGGTGAAATATTTGGCTAGAGGTGTTCCAGCTTCGTTTGAACAAATTTTTGACATGCACCACAAAAGTAAGTGTTACTTCTCCGCAGTGGAAATTTTTTTAAAGAATCAAACAAACTCATTGTTTTCCTTTTGTCAAAAACCATCAAAAACAAATTTTTGTAAGCCAATCTTTCCTGGAATTGGCTGGCTTGCCAAATTTGTGTAATTTATATTGGCTAATACAGTTTAAGAAAGATAGGCATTGCTATTTTCTGCTGAACCAAGTTCCTTCCACTTGGAGGTCTTACATCAAACTATGAATGAGTGATGTAAACCCAAAAGGCTTTTGTGAGAGTAAGTTGAGCAAACACGTTTTGATGATTCTTACCCTAGCTTGATATAATATTTCACTTTATTCTCCTCTTTAATTCGACTAAAATACTTTTGGGCTTCTTCAGGTTTTCCACGTTCCAGACAGACATCGACAAAAGGCTGAAAGAAGAAAATCAGTGATCAGTTGAGAGGGAAGGTACATACTTAGGCAATAAGGAATACTGCTAAATGAATTTTTATACAGTGCCTATTTTTTTAAAAAAAAGGATGAGTTTGTTCAGGGTGTCTACAGATATCAGATCATTAAAATTATTTGCTTCTCCTTACTTTTGCAAAAATTTCTATTAAGGGAATTTCTGAAAATCTTTGCTTCTCCTATACTTTATTCTTGATTTTTCTTCAAATGAAACGCTTCTTTAACTGTATAAAGGATAGAATTCTTTTCAGAGACACTCATTCAACATTCAACAAATGCTACCGTTGATCTTCAATATTTAGCGATGGGGGAAACATACAGATCTGAGGTTTTCTTTAAAAATTAAGAAAAGCATGGTTAGCTATAGCTTTAAGCAGCAAACACAAAATTCTGAGAAATTCGGATTCAGAGAATGGAAAATGGAGGTGATAGAAATTTGAGCAAAAATGACCCAAAACACAAAGCATTGAACTACCGGCACTTACACAGCACATCCTTACATTTTCTATACTCCTGTTCAAACTTCTCAAAAACTGTGCTTATTCAATGTGTCTGGACTTTTTCTGGGAAGTAGACACCCAATTTCTGGAAAACTAAGGAATATTCCCTTAAAATTGCATGTAGTGTGCAGTGTAGGGGACAATTTCAGGAAACGAATGCTTACTANGCTGCAAACCCCCAACCAGGGATGCGCAGCTGGTTTTTCAAGTTGGGACAAGCACAACTCTACTTCCTCGGACGCCCCTGGCGATGTTTTGGCCACGAGGATGCCCAGCCACTTGCTCGGGTACCGCGGGGTCGCCAGCCCTCGAAAGGGCCTCCCGTACGACATTGAGGTCGCCCCTGAGGTTCCCTGGTTATTATTATTATTATTATTTTTCCTTAGTATGATGTTGGCAGTTGTAAAATGATAGCTACCTCAGAGCTTTAAAAAAAAAAAAATCTACAAGAAAATAGTCTGGTACAGCCAATATCTTTTTGTTGATGTAAAAGAATAACAGAAAAACAGGGAATACAAATTTTTTCTGCACACATAGCATCTTGAATCATAAAAATAATGAACAAACTTGTAAACTGTCTATGAAAACATATAAAACTTTTACATCTTTTTTCAAGACATTCCATAAACTGAAATTAATCTACAAGGTGTCTCAAATCAATTGGTGAAAACTTAAGGGATCAATTCTTTAGACGGAAATGTCTAAAGAAAAGACAAGCAAAGAAAGGTGGTAGAGGAGGAAGAAGGGATTACAAACCTCAAAACCAATGGGTGGTTTTTTGGACTTCGAAAAATTTTCTAAGTCTCTCCACTGATCATTGGCTGCCAGGGTCATTATTCGCAGCCACCAATACCTGTAATAATTATTTCAAAGTCAAAATTAATCTTATTCATTCTAGGGGAAAAAAATTAATTCAGGGGATCAAGGTTCATAAAGAGCTTATAAACCTCCACTGATGCTCCTTCGTCGAAGATTACTCCTTATACTTTTTTCTTTCCTAGACAGATGTGTCCACAAGAATAGGCTACTATTAAACAGAAATACATCCTCTTCTTCATTAAAGATGAGTATTAGTGATACTATGGTTCAAGCAACCTCCAGAATAAAAAATCAAGTCCAGCATTTTCATTTTATGCACAGATATTATATTTGAGAGGAAAATATTCAATAAATTTTCGGAAACTTTTCCTTTCCAGCATTGTAAAATCATGAAAGAAATATAGTAAAAGTTTCAACGAATTCTATTTATTTGCTTTAGTTATCATTGATGAAACATTAGAGGAGATTCTGAGACACTGCAACCAAGAAATGCCCTTCCTGCGCCCAGCGCTTCAGTTGAAACGATGATTCTAGTTTACAGTCAAGCCTTACTAAAATGGAGGACATCAGGACCAAGGGTTCATTCCGACTTGACAGGGTTTCCAAGTTAAATGGACTTCATATTGGCAAGACGAAAAAACAAGACACAGCCGTTGACACCGAGTTAGCGGGGTTTCCGACTTAAGCGGGTTCTGACTTAGTAAGGTTTGCCTGTAGTTAATTAACTGATTTGCTTCATGACCGAGAAATAATTAATGTATTTTGCAGAGAAGAAAAAAAAATAATGGCCACTAACCTTTTGTCAGGAACTTTATATTCACTCCTAAGTTTATCAGCCAGCTTGACTTCTCCTATTTCTAGAAGAGTCTTGATCGTATCGTGTAATGATAAATTGACAAAACCTCTCTTAAAATTCTCTTCGAGACTTTTCTGGTGGTTCAGAAGTCGCAGCTGCTCATCACAAAGAGCTGCGTTCAGATCATTTTTACCGCGCTTATACGCTTCTTGAGCAGATACTAGCACAACCTGCTTTGCAAGATCATTCTATAGAAAGAAGAGGAAGGAAAAAAAGATTAGAAATGTTGTAATGTTACTTTGCTTTAAGGTAATTCCCTTTAATTCTGTTTGATAACTTGAAATATTATTTTTTAGCAACCATACTTTGCAAATGCTTTGGCAATGTTATGAGAAATAATGCGAAAAACAAGAAAGGAGGGATTTAGGCATGGATGGATGGCAAGCATGGATTAGTGAAAAACTGATAGATTTAGATGATTTAGTCCAATTATTTCAGAAGATGCCAATAAAGAAAAAAATCAATCTATTGATATGAAATTAATATTCCTTGAGTGACTTAGAAACAGTGTTAGAAACTCACAGGCGCCAACGTACCAAATGCGCCTAAGAAACCGGTCATGGCGCCTAGAAACTGAAGGCTTTGCACCAACGTGGCCCCTAAAAATTGCCTTCCCCCTTCTCTCAAAAAAAATTCTAATTTTTTTGTTTGGTTATTTTTGTGAAATGCTTGGCACCAGATTCTAACTTTCCACTCAATGCACCTTGATATGTAGGCAAGAAGTCAATTTGGTCCCTAAAAAATCTTTAATGGCCCCTAAAAATTGACCTTCATGGGCCACATGGCTCCTGAAACTCAAAGATGAGTTTCGAACACTGCTTAGAAAATACCTACATGAACTACTTGAAGTCGAGTACCGTATAGCTCCGCAGATAAGACGCCCCTGCAGATAAGACGCACCCCGGATTTTGAGGGGGCAAAAAAAGAAAAAAATAAATACTCGCGTATAAGACGCGGTTTTTGATGGAAAAATGCAAAGGAGAAGAAAGAAATAACAAACAACATTCCTGGGAAAAATCTCTTGATTTCCAAATTTATTTTCTAAAATTTACATTAAAGAGGATCATTGACGGTTTCAGTCGCTCTCCGCCTCGCACTCCGTGTCATACTCATCATCGCTTGACTCGCCGGTAGCCACTGACTCAGCGTCGGAGTCGGAACTGGGATCGGCATCGGCATGCTCCCCTCCTCCAGTCACACTCGGTTGCGCAAGGTCGCTGTCGTCATCACCGGCACCTGCTATTGCACTCGGCTCCTCGTTATCAGCGGCAGCGTGGAGTTGATACTCCTCCTCCCATAACATGTCATCCTCAGTCCCATCCATGGCGTTGCTTATGCAGCATTTCTTAAAAGCTTTCTCGATGAGTGGCTGAGGTATGAGGTTCCATGCTCGTTCAACCCAATTGACGATCGTGAGGAGGGATGGCTTCTTTAGTCGGCCAGAAGCTGTATAATCGTGCACCTCTTTCACCATATAATCGGCCCAAAAGTCTTGTAGGTGTTTCTTAAAGGGCTTATTGACCGAAACATCCAGCGGCTGTAACATCTTAGTCATACCTCCAGGGATGATGACTAGATCGGATTTGTGACCTTTGAGCCGATCTTTGACATTTTCGGTCAGATGCCCTTTGTAACTATCAAGCACAATCATGGAGGGTAGCCTTAAAAGTGCTCCCGGCCTCTTCTCCCAAACTAATTTCACCCACTCCTCAACAAGCTCGTTATGCATCCATCCTTTTTCATTTGCGCGGACAATGACGGTTCTCGGAAAAATGACGTTTTTGGGCAGAGTTTTCCGCTTGAAAATGATGTAGGGGGGAAGCCTACGCCCATCAGCCGTAGCAGCTAACATGACGGTGCAGCGTTGTTTTTCCCCGCCGCTTGTCTTTACGGAGACGCTCTTCGCACCTTTTTTGTCGACAGTCGTACTAGACGGCATGTCAAAGTAGACAGGAGTCTGGTCTGCGTTCCCAATCTGTGATAAGATGTACTTGTTTTCCTTACGCTTCTTAATCACATACTTTTGAAACTCAAGGAGTTTATCCTCAAATTCAGCCGGCAATTTTTGACACATGGTCGTTCGTCGCCTCACACTAAAACCCTGTCGTTTGAAAAAGCGATAAAGCCAACCTCGGCTAGCCTTAAACTGTACATCTGGGCATACTTCTCTCTTGAGCCTCATAGCATGAATACGGCTCATGGCGCAGGAAATGGAATGACCTTTTGCTCTGTGCTCCAATATATACTCACTTAATTTTTCCTCCAGCTCAACGAATTTGGGGTTTCCCTTGCGAAAAGCTCTTCTCTGGTTATTCGTCTTTTTTAATTGTAGTTTTTGCAATTTCCATTTTCGGATGAGACACTCATTGATTCCTAAACGGTCTGCAGCTTTGCGATTGGATTTGAGTTCCTCGGACAACCGGATGGCTTTAAATTTTTCACCCGCGGTGTGCGGATGCCGTCTATTAACCATGGTTAATTAATAATTCGCATTCACAGCAATAAATACAATCAAAAACCAAAGATCAAAGATCGCGTCGTTTAACCACCGGAAACGTAAACAATGATAAGGGATGATTAGGTAAACAAAGGAATGAAGCCTAATTTGCATAGGTTAATAAAAGAAAGGGAGGGTGTCAACACCTAATGAGGCGTGAAATCACGCCGATTGTTTGAATTAAGACCCGCGGTCATCGTCCCAACCCCACCCCCTACTGTACCCTTTCTCAAAGCAGCAGCGTCGAGTTTGAAAAGAGGGAAAGGCAGAGCCATTGATACGAAAAAAGAATTAAAGCAAAAAGGATCTTTCCTCAAAGGAAGCTCAAATCTTTAAGAAAGGGAGATTAAAATTGCGATAACAGCGGGGATTGAGTGGGCGATTGACATGTCTTCCGCTGCGCCGCGCCAGCGCTGCATGCGGCGCGTGCCGAAAATGCAGTGAGCCATTGACCTTGTCAACAGGTGGCCACTTTCGATTGTTCGATGGCGATGAATCGAAGGAGACGCGGCCTATTTCCTGACGCTTCCCCCCACCATGGGCCAGATTCAATTCTAGCTCTGGTCAGATTGCGAGTCGAAAAAGGTGTTTACGTTCGCGGTTTTGCAAAGAAGGCATGCGTTGGGCAATTTATGCTTTGTTTGCACTCCTTCAAAAGCAAAAAAAGAGTGTCGGTTGGCAGGAATGGGTCACTATCGTTCAGTTAGACTCAGACCAGTGTGTTTATAGAGATAAGAGGATGGTACGCGTTGGGGTTGTGAGATATAGCAAGGAGGGGCCAGGGGGAACGATTATCTGCTTAGGCGCGCCTGTGAGGTATGCAATTTGCACGAGTTTCGCGTATAAGACGCACCCCCGATTTTGGGCGCTTAAAATGGGGAAAAAAGTGCGTCTTATCTGCGGAGCTATACGGTAATTCAAAAAGTACATGCACTGATTGAAGGCTCGTAATATAGAAAATAAACGGACTAATTGAAGTCGAGTAATTTGGAAAATACAATTACATGGATGGGTTGAAGTCAGCTTAAAAAGAGGAGAAAAATAGCTAACCTTTGGATTATAGACATCTCGTATGTGACATGCAGCTTGTTCCAGATGATCGTCCTCTTGTAAATAAATATCTCTCAAGGCATCCTTGTTGTGCTCCTTACAATACTTCAGATACAGTGCTTGCGCGAGAGGAAATTTTCGAATCTCCATCTGCAAACAAAAAAAGCCGGCTATTTGAATAAAACACAATTCATACATCACATGTCACTCAGTGCTGGTCAACTTCTGAAAAATCAAACCCTTTGCTTTTGACTAGACAAAATCAATTCGTACAGAACTCAGTCATTACGAGGACCCTAAAATTTTATTGATTAGGTAAATAAACTGTTAGAAAGAAAAGGAATAAGCGGTAGATCGTTCCACTGCAAATCGTTATTGTAATGGAGAAAATGCGATCCTTTATTTTGAAATTTATATTCTTCTGATTATTCTTAGAGATGGTCCGTAGAAAGGAGCTAAAGCAATTGCAACTTATCAAAATGGACAAAAAGTTTCAAGACTGAAAAAGCTTCATATTAAGCTGATATATGGTAATAAAGACTGCAGAAGATAATTCAGGAGATTTTAAGCTATAGACCAGAACCGACTATTTGACATCAATAAAATTGGAAGAACTCAAGAATTGAATTTCTGATTGAAATTTTGATTTCTGGTGTTTTTCAAACTCTGGAACAAAAACCAGCGATAAAAAAAAAAACGCAAAACGAGTTTGAAAAAGAAAAAAAAGAAAAACAATAAAATTATATTGTAGACTGAGATACTTGACTATAGGGGCTTATACTGCCATCTATGAGGGAAAATTACACACAAAAAAGTTTGGTGGTCTTCAAGGTGAGCCGAAATTCAATATTTTTTACTCTGACAAGGAACTCAGATGTTCTGTCTCGTTAATCCCCCCCCCTCCTCGCCCAGATTTTGCCTATTGAAGATCCTTAATCTCTGGATCTACTTAAAATCAAATTTGTGAATTTACACATGGAAAAACTAAAGATCCTGAGCCTAGGCTTGCCACAAATCCTTTAGGAGCCGGAATCACAAGTTAACATAAACATCCCAAAACTTGTACTTCATACAAGGTATGCCATACACAATAATATTTTTAGGCTCTAATGAGATAGACAACATGCTTGGGCTCGTAAACATACCTGCAATTCTCTAAGAGAACTCATATTATCACGAAGATGCAGCAAAACAGTGTAGACTAGATCTGTATTTCCACTGGAGATAGCTTTTTGAAGGGCAGTTCGGTCTTGTCCTAGGCGTAAGAGGAGAGGAACCTGAAGCGATGCTCTCGGCTCATAATCTAAAAGCTAGTAACAAGATATTCAGGTAAATTTTGGTTTCAGCGAATAGAACACAAAAATATATGACAGGTTGAAATCCAAAATACAATACTTTGGTAGGAATCAATCAAATGGGGAGGAGGATGCAACAGGCAATGTAACAGGAAATTTTCTTGTTAAAAATGTTTCGATTCATAGAAGAATGCTTCAATTGACACAAGTTCAGCAGTCGGGGAACACAAATATCACACTGGAGACCAAGTGACATGTATTGAAAAATCTACAGAGTTTAAACCTACTACCTACCTTTGCAATACAATCAGTACGATTGGACTAAACTTTGCAACAAGGAACAACAATTTTTAACTCACTTTAGAAACGACGTATGTGCTATAAGTTTCCATATGCAGACAAAAGCTTTTGTAAATGAGTTAAATTGTAGTTCCTAATTGCAAAATGAAGTCCAATTTTGATGAATACCTTAATGTGCTTTCAAATAGATATTTCCTCTGGTCATAGACCAGGGAATTTAAAATTCTTATCACTTTGGCCGAAAACCTTAACTGAGACAAAAACTAAGATACTGGCAAGACCACTAACTATAGAACAATATGGCAAAGTTGAACTAGGCTCTTCTGAATTATAAATTTAATGGGAGCCAAAGAAAACACAGAAACTTTTCATCAAACTAAAGTTGTTTCTTTGAACTGAGATTTAAAATAGAATCTCTAATCAGCTCATGCATTTCTGCTTTTTATTTATGACAAAATGGGCACTACATTGCGTCACCTGAAAATCGCAATTTTTATGAAGCATCAAACTGATTGGTAGGGAAAGCTTTGAAATGAGCTGTCAAATTTTGTATTTGATGACACATTTCGATTAAAGCTGCTCGACTTTTCATTTATTCAGAATCTTTCATTTTTACCTTGATTGTTAGTTGTGTTCGGCCATAATCCGCAGCTTTCTTTGCGATTTCAGTATACGAGACACCTGGGTTGTTTCCCAGCTTACTAGCTATTTCCTCAGCTATAGTATCTCTATCGACTGATGTCTGCTTCACCTGATAGTTGAAAACACGAATTGATTTAATGATTTTGTCTCGTAAGGATCATATATGAGGCCACCCACCAACATTTGACAAAAAATGCAAATTCCTTTTAATGGTGAATCTGCGGTGATTTGTATCTTATTTACAAAGCCTCAAAATTTTCACTTCCCCTTGATATTTTTTGAAGAAAAACAAAGCTACAAAATGGCTTGTAATTTCCAGAGATTTCTCACACAGAGAGAAGAAATGAGGGAAGTTTTCAGGGAGTAACGTTGAGTATTTTTCCATTTAGAAAATAAATTATGACAAGATGTCTGGATATCGCAAACTGAGATACCCGCGCCTCAATTAATACCTTGTTCAGAGGTTTAATAGTCAGCTTTCGCACTATTTCTCGATTGGATGAAAAAAATATTAAGTAGGTAATCATGAATTAATTTAAGAATATTAATAAAAAAAAATTCATCAGAAATTTTAGACTTTCTTTAACTTCTCAGGCTTAGATGAAAATCATGGGAGCAGAAATTCCCAACACAAAACTGTTTCAAGCAGTTTGGCATTTTGTCCTCACTGTCTGCCAGAATAGGCTTCATATGTTGAGCTACATATTATGATGTGCCTAGAAATTCCAACTTTACTGTGAGGAATTCTCCAGTTTTATTATTTCCAAGACATTTGCTGAGTTTCCTATCCACACGAAAGACATCTTTGAAAATTTTGACAAGTTGCAATGCAGGAAATCCACGTCTATTTTTTTTTTTTTTAATTGGTTTTTTACTTGCTTACAGCAATGTCCACACCACAAAATTAAGCATTTTCTAAACTCTTGCTGTGAATTGAGTGATGTAATCCGGAAAAAATCAATGCTTTACATGAATCTTGTTTCACTGGCTTTTAAGTCAAATGGTTCCCCTAGTTCCATTATGAAGGAAATTCATTTGATGGAACTTCCGTGCAATTTGAGAGAAAGCCGAGACAAGTAAATTTTTTACCTTGTAAAACGCCCAATGAGCAAGGATGTGGCTACCATCTTCTTTTCCAGACAGCCGTAGATACTTGGCTGCTTGAATTGCTAAATAATACTGTCTTCTTGCAATTAATTTGTCCAGGAGAGTAGGCACCGTTAGGTATTCTTTTAATCTGATAAACTATTAAGGAGAAATTTGCAAAAATTGGGAAATAAGTTAACTGAAGAAAAGTCTGTGAACTTATTGTGAAGACAGAATTAAACCACCACACACACTATATATCGGGCGATATACAGAAATTCATAAAAAACGAAAACAGCAAACTCCAATTCGATCTGCAAAAATCATAGACCCAATAATGGCTGTTGAAGAGCAGACTGATGGTATTATTTAATGAGTCAATCTTTAATAGTGCAAGACTTATTACAAAAAAACGTAAAAGAGAATTAAATTACATAAATTTCTTCAAGTAAAAAATATAGATGAGAAAAATTTGTACATGAGACAATATTGCTCTCATATAATCATAGAATTTTATCAAGACACGCTAAGTGTTTCTCTCAGTCCTATCTAGGAGAGTATTGTCGGACGAACCTACAACGAAAGAAATACTTACTGGAGAGTACGAAAATCCAAACTGTCTTTGGGGTTAAATGACGTCTCATGTTGTTTGCAAGAGAACAAGAATTTCCCAAGATTTTCTCCTGCCATCTTTTAATATTCTCTAATTTCACATAGGAGAGATATTTTACATTCTACATTCTATATAACAAACTATTGGGAGGGAAACTATTCTCTAATCACAAAATTAAAAACGAATTAAAATGGGTCGCTAAATTTATCTTGTCCCCCTCCCTTCCCCAATTCTCTGAAAAAGTGATGGTTTCTGCCAATACAAAAAATTCCTGCATTTCTGAATGTTTCAGGCTTTTCCCGGATTCTGACAGAGAAACTATACAGTGAAACCTCGCTAAGTCGGTTTCCGGATAAGCCGGTAACCCGCTTTAGTCGGTAGAATCGCCCGGTCCCGTTTATCACCCATATAACACAATGCTAAATAAGTCTCGGTATCTCGGTTTGGTCAGATTCTGAACCCGCTTAACTCGGTGAAATTTTTCCATCTGGACCTGTTTTTCTTCGATCGTCACCCGTGATCAAACGTAGGTAGTGTTTCCGTGCGCGGTGAGGGTCGGGTCAAGTTACGCCACGAAGGGTGAGCGAATCTCCGAAAAAGCGCAGCGCAGTGCGAGAAACGACATCGGAAATAGAGAGATAAGGAATCAAAAACACTCGATAACGACACGAAAGATGAGAACAGTAGAGAATAGGATATCTGATACCGCGTGTTATCTTATCGCGCGTGTGAAAACACGCATGCATAATTAAGCAATTTCACGCATCGATGAGTTGAAAGGTCCAGTCGGCACCGGCCCCTCTCCCCCTACCATCTTGCATTGCCCTTCCCCGCTCCCCCCAGGAATCTTCCGCAGAGTTTTTCGGGGATTTTAGCGAGTATTGATACGTTGCATTTTCAGTTCAACGACCCGCCATAGCGGGTGGCCGTGGCGCATCACCGCGCGGCATGCCGCGTGGGGTGCGCGGGGGGTGATACGAAATGGGGTGCCGCGGCACCCCAACATACGATTAACCCGATGACTTCATGATGCCCTGACACTTACAACACGCAATTTCAAGTGCATCTCATGAAATTTTACTCTATAGTACCATTTTCTTCGATCAAATGGCTCTCCTAAACACTCCTACAAGTCACTCTACACGCACGTTTACGTTTGTCCAATTTAGGGCGCGAAATTTGAAAAAGCGCGGCAGGAAAAGTGGCAGTCCGCGTAAGTCGGTAACCCGCTTAACTCGGTAAATTTCCTCGGTCCCGATGAAAACCGACTTAGCGAGGTTTCACTGTACAATAATACAGCATCAAAAGTAACAAGAAAAAAAAATGATGAAATTGCAAAAAAGGATACTGCGTGTAAGTCAGAGGGATTCCTATTTTAGGATCTCTGACAGCATTGAGCACCCGCAATATTCGACACATTTCAACATACTTTTCTGGATTGTAATCGGCTGAGAAAACTTTCCCAAAGGAGGCAGCCTGTGAAACGAGAAAAAAAAAAACAAATCATTTTTAAAGAGCTATTTTCTTCCATAGTTTCCGCTAGATGCAATTGAAAAAAAAATGCCTACCATTGAGGTTGATTTTCAAACCTTCTGCCATTATCTAGTCATCATACCTCGACATGGTTTGTTCCAGCATTTAATTCTTCAATTTTAAATTGTTTAAACTTTTTTGCAAAGACAAAGAAGTTAATTTAAATTTTTGTTTTTTGTATTTAAGCTTTTAATGGCCAAGTACTAATTGAGTTACTGAAAAGAGGTATTTCATCAACACAAATCCTGAAATCTTTACGGTGGACCTCTATTTAAGGTGCTTTGTAGACAAACGGATCTCACCGTGATAAGCATCTTTTGATGCACAGGGTTGAACTCATGTCCAGCTGCTTGAATACACTGAGTTATTGCTAATTGTAAATCTGGTTTGACTTGCTGGATGTAGTCATCCGCTCGATGACTTTGTTTCTGAAAAAAATAATAGCGATTAGGTTCATTAAATTTTTAAAATTTCATGAAGACTGTAGCTTTCTAGGCTTGCTTTTGATTGAAAAAGTTTTAGCTTATAATTTGTTCTATAAGTGGCTATACAAGCATTAAAAAAAGAAATGTCTGAAGAGATGTTGCGGTGTCAGTTGCCCGATAACCTCTGGGAAGACAGGCATATGTGGCGTTTGGGTGTCGTAGAACGCCAGAGTGCGTTATAAAGCGACTTTATATATATATGTCTGAAAGCCAACTCTAATTTTAAAATAAAAGAGGTATGTTAGTTAAGTCTTGGGTTACTGGTCTAATTATGACTACCTTGAGCTTCAAAAGAGAACAATCAAGATTAAGAGAGAAATAAATACCTGAAACTGTTTTGAAGCTTCAAACAAGTTTGAGCCGGGTGAGGTAGAATCGACTCTGAAAATTTCTTGTACTACGAGAGGAACTTGTTGGATGATATCGGTGCTAAAGGTTGAAACGACACGCACGCAGTCAACTTCTTGGACTAGGTGCACCGGCCAATCGTACGGGAAATTCAGATTTAAAGAATGATCCAATTTACCAATAACAGTTACTTTCGAATCCCATACGCCCAAAACAGCAAATGTTCCACACCTGTTGAAAAATGTGGAATACATATTCTATATTGAATTAAGTAGTAACAATCTTGGTAGAGAGCAAATTTAAAATACGATGAGTAAATAGATAGACTAAAAAAACTGATATATTATGTAATAAATTTTGAATTTTTTGATGAGTACTACCTCTGAGGGGGCAGTGGCAAGGGGTTTTTGCAGGGTTGTAGTCCAGTTGTAGTCTAGCTTCTCTAGCATACAATTTCATGAAAAAGTCAAGAAGTTTATAAATAAGTTCAACAAATTATTTCTAACTGGAGAGAAAGCAAATCAAAATCCAGCCAATCAAAACCAACAATCGAGTTGATGTCGCAAGACATTGCTTAATGCTGAGATCAATCAATCAGCAAACAGCCTCACTCGAACCAGGCTACATCATCAGAGCTTGCCAAAAACTGAATACTCTTCATGATTTTAGGATAACTTGAGCACAAATTTCAAGCTTAATGAGTTGGTAGTTTCCTAAAACAAACTGAGATTACTTAATGGTGGTTATTTTGAAACGCTAACAAAGAAAAGCAAATTTTACATCCAAGTTTTCGATTATTGCAACAAGCTTTGCATCATCACATTTTATCCAAGGTTGCCACAGAAGTTAGAAAATTAATTTCGCTGACGTTTCTCCGATTTCTTTGACATATTTTGATCAAATTCTCTGACAATTGAAGAAATGCCAGATGGTTAAAAAGACATAATTAGAAATAGTTACTAGGCAAAATTTGTTGTTGGAAACGTAGAGCCCATTCTAGATGGAAAATAAAGGTGACTTAATGATTTTTCCCTGACATTTTAATCATTTTCTCTGAATTTTTGAAATTCTCGGACTAGCAACCCTGTTTATTTTACATGTAATGCAACATTCAAGAAAGCAGTTTTGCATAGCTGTGAAACTATTAGACCTTTCTGATCTACGAAATCTTTCCAGAGATTGACAAATAGCTGCACAGGGTTAACTGCTTACCAAACAAGCTGTTTCGAAGGATGGCTTGCTCTGGTGTCATATATCCTGTAATTCTTGTCGAGATCGGATGATCCTATCCATATCTGACCCATATCCGTTTGCATGGCAACACAGGAATAATCTTGCGAGACAGCTATGTTTAAAACGCTAATTCTCATTGTTCCAATATTCATTGAATCAATATTCTGAAAAATTTTAAAATCATACAAATTGAATAAATTTTGAATCCAATTCATGGCCAGGAATATATTGATTGTCAAGTGTATCTTGTAGTTTTTAAGCTTCACTCACACTATCAAATTTTTCATCCGAAAGTTCCCGTTCAATTTTTCGTCATATTATCGTTTTCTCGCGTCAGTATCATACTATCCAACTTTTCATTACAAGTTGCATTCAAGAGTTAAATGGAAAGTTTGATAGTGTGAATTAGGTTTTACACTTTCCTTCAAATAGTTTGTTTGATTCGATTGATATAATTTTCATTAAAGGCACAGCTATTCTTCTTCCTCAGATTTAAAATTAAAACAAGACTCCTATTGTAAGGTTGTATGTTCTATGGATTATAAATTAGAACAAGATTCCTTCTTCAGTCATAAAATTCAGTCAAGATTTTGACCTCCAACTACTGAAAAGCAGTGAGAATTACATTAATCTTGCTGATTCAAGCTCACTGCTGTCCTACGATGAGCCATTATTTGGTTCCCCTCATATCTCATTTAGTTTATTAGAGTGAAGCTTTTTGCACAAAGCTCAACTCACCAGAAACAGTACCCAGAACATAATCATCCCCTTCATTTACAAAGCGTCTGACTCCATTCCGCTTGAATTTTCAGTTACCTTTTTATGGACTGAAAAATTAGAAAACAGAACTTACAAAGAGGACCTTGATGATCAAAGAGGTTATGAGCTTATGAAAAGTCGAGTCAATAGAAAAATTACCAAATATTTCTGCTGAATTGCTTGTGGCTCTGAAGGATTGAGTAAATATAATTCTTGACCTCTTGCGACTAAAACAAGAATTTGCCGGTCCTTACAAATGACAGCCCACGCATTAGGTCTAACATTAGGCCCTAAAGAAAAACATAATATTAAGAAGAAGCATGACTATAGAGTAAATTCTTTCACATTCCTTCGTTTAAAAAAAGAAAAGAAAGAAGATAAAAAAAAAGCAACTCCATATTTCTTTTGAAAGTAAATGCATCAGAAGAAAAAAAGGAAACAAAACGAAAGAGCAAAATAATTTTTCCTTCTATCCATTCCTCTCTTGACTTCTCCTTCTTTTGGACAACGAAAGTTGAGGGTTGATTTTGAATAAATGTATAGCAACAATTTAATAAAAAGGGGAGAGTAATAGGACAGGAGTTAATTTTTTTTTTTTAAAAATTCAGGTTTACAGGAAAAAATTTGAACTTATTTATGATATTGGTTACTAAGATTAATTTTTAACATGTTCCTCTTAGACAGGAACAATCATTAAAGTGAATCTATTGCTAAAGTAAGCAAACATTAAGATACTGAAAACATTTTGCTAAAATACTGGTTTTGCTTGACCTAAAACAGATTGATTGCGCCAAGTGGCATAATCTAGCTGTTTTGTTTCAAAGATTCTATGACGTAAACCCTAAAATAAAGTTGAAAGTATGTAATCGCTATATAACTGACCTCTCTACAATATTCTGCTTTACCTATCATACTTTTATTTTTGTTTTAGGGTTTACAAGCTAGATTTTTTTGGAGAGAAACAGCTGAATTGTGTTTAAAGGCGTAATTAATCTTTCTCATTTACTTTTTGGTCAAAAATTCAAAGTAAAATCAGTAATTTGGCAAAATTTGTTCAATGCTTCGATGTTTGATTGGTTCTAATGTAGATTCAACTTAAAAATTAACTCAAAGTGGCACAACTAGGGCTTTCCAAAAATAGTACAACTAATTCACTGGCTTGATGAAATCTAAATTGCAAGGACATCAAAAAAAAGTATGTACAAGAGATGTTAAAATAGAGGCTCTGACAAATTGCCTTGATATAGAAACTTACCAGGTATCACAGGTAGCCGCCTAACTTTTGGTTCCTTTACGTTACTGACTACGAAGATTCGATACGCTTTGGTGAGTACGGCCACGCCAGTAATTGAGTCACTTCCGTAAAATGTTGAGAAAATTTTACCTTCGATGACACTGAGTTCTTGAGCCTCCTAATGCAAATGGAAAAAGAGAAAAGTTGTACTATGGCATGAGATGGAAATTGAAGGAAGTACACATAAAATAGGTATCATCATCAGCGACAACTTGCAAATTTGCATTTGCAGTTAAATTCTATAATTTTAATGTGAAAGCAAGCTGCTTTAAAATATTTTCACATGTTTCAAGTTGTCGTTTCTATTTAATACTCAAGTATTTGTTCCTTGCCCAGAATTTCTACTGATATCAAATTTGAAAAAGTCAATTATAAATGGACGGCATTTTGCAATTAGGGACTATAAATTCCGGCCTGGTTTAAAAACAATGTATGTGCCATTAGTTTCCCTATGCACATAAATGTTTTTTCAGATGAGCCGGAATTTATGGTTCCAAATTTCAAAATGCGGTCCAAATATAAGTGGTGCTTCTCCAGTGCTTTGTTTTGCTAATGACACAAATTAAGTACTTGTTCTAAAAAAAAAAAGTATTTTTTCAGCAAGTACCTTTGAGCTACCATTTCCAGTCAATTTCAGACTTTGAGCGAAGTTTCACCAATGGGCCTGTTGCATGCAAGAGATACAGCCGTGCGAATAGACTTTATAGAGGTTAGATGACACGAAAATTACGATGGTCACATTAAAAAAGTCTGAAATACACTCCTTACTGCGCAATTTGCGTTGTTAGGAACGCGCTTTTTCAAATTTCCCGCGTCTGGGGGCAGTTTTCTAACGGAAACAATTAACGGCAATTCGCAGCTATTTCCGGTCAACTAAAACTGACAACAAAGGTAACCTTAAAATCGGAGCTCGTGATATCGTGAAATGAAATGTAGAAGCGTTGGATATTTAAAAGTTGATCGATTTGGTTACCGCATAAAGCGTATATGGACCACTATAAGAGATCACGTTGGGTTTGTAAACAAACTGGAAGAAAAAATAATAACAACAACAACGACTCGGCATCTTCCTGAAATCACCGAGCCCGCCGTTTGCTCGTTTCCGGTGATTAGAAAACTGCCCCAGACGCGGGAAATTTGAAAAAGCGCGTTCCTAACAACGCAAATTGCGCAGTAAGGAATGTATTTCAGACTTTTTTAATGTGACCATCATAATTTTCGTGTCATTTAACCTCTAAAAAGTCTATTTGCGCGGCTGTATCTCTTGCATGCAACAGGCCCATTGCTTCTACTTACTTTAAAGATACTTCTGGGATCACCTTGATAAATGAGTACATACTTTTCCAGGTTAAATAGACACTCTAATTGAAAATATTCCGTTTAAAAGTATAAAGGAAACTGTTAAATAAAATATTTAGTATTGATGAAACCCTGGGATGGAAATAGTTCCTGGCATACAGAATTTTTGAAAATTCCTCCACAATTTTCTGGAATGTGTTAGGTTTTTCACGAACGATCAAGTGTCAAAATTTTCAGTTGATTGGCAATTTTAATTTAGATATTTAAATCGTCAAATCAGGTTGTTTGCAGGAGAAGACAAAAGTCGCCCCCCCCCCCCAAAAAAAAAAACCCAATCTGACAGGGTCCAAAATTTTGAGGACAAGCCTACAATTTGGTCTCCAACAGCTGGTTGTGCAGTCCCTTACTAACAATTTGTACCCATGATGAAAACTCACCTGCCCCATGCTAAATGTATGCTGATAATTTCCAAACATATCATAAGTCAAAACACAGCCGTCTTCTTGGATGAAGAGAAGTTCATCGGAGCATGACCAGCCCGTCTCAACGATATTACCATTATTCCACTGAAAAAACGAGACGGCATAGATTAATGAACAAATTAGGGTAATCTAGCTTCAAATCCACAGTTGTGATATTTAAGTAAAAAAAAAAAATTAGAATAATGTAACTTCTCAAACACTGGTGCAAAGTTTAGATCGTGAAGTGCCTGCAAAAAAAGATGAAAACTTGAATGAGTGAGAGAATAATCCAGCAGTAGAACTGCAAAAACGCAAATCTCAGTTTGCAACACTGCAAACTTTCTGTCTCAGTTTATTTTTTCCATCAAAAAACCCTCGTCATTTTTTGAAAATTTCCTTGATTTTTCACACTGTGTGAAGAACATTTTGAAAACATTTTAAGCAACAAGTATCTAGGTATTGATAGTTGGTACTCCTTTGTTTGGAAAAAAAAAAAAACTTGGGGCGGAGATTTGATTTAAAAAAATGAGATACCTGTTATTACAGTTTTATATTTAGTTGATTCTTTTAGGAGTACAGATTTCACAGTACGATGTGAGCTTACTGATTTCTATACTTAAAAAAATTAGTTTTTATTTTTTTGACCAGATGTAAGCCTCCTTCGGAATCTGGGAAATGAAAAAATTGAAACATTCATCTAATTCCATGTTTGCACACTAAAGACAGCGACAGTTTCAATTTTTTCGGAGGTCGAAGTGTTAGCCAGTAAGTGCAGAAGCTTTGAAAATATTAAAATTAGCAGTTTTCATTTGTGGCAGGGAAGTTTAGAAAGGTTCATTCTAAAAAGAAATGCTTAGGTACTTACTAGAAACGTTTCAAGTTTCCTTCCAGACGCAGTGTAGACTGTCACAATTGGCTTGCCACTAAACTTAACCTCTGCCAATTTCGATCTATCACGCCTGACTGCGATAGGACCACCAAATGGTGCAGGGGTGAGGATGGAAGTATCTAAATCCACTTCATTCAACCAGTCCATGGAGTATACTTCCGTTTTTCTGGGAAAAGAAATTGGTTTATTTATTACCTTTTGGGTGCAAAATTTTAGAACCTCACAAAGAAAATAGGAAAGAGCGCAAACAGCTGAAAATAAAGTCATGCTAAAAATTGGTGAAAGTCAAAAGAACAGGGCCACTTTGAAGCTAAAATGATGCTAGAATATTGTAAAGTTTCCGCCCGTTTTAGATCTAAATTCTTGGAATCACCGACTTTCTAAATTTCATTGTCCTATCCGAAACTGTACAATTATGACAATTAACTGGCAACATGTTGTTGGCTAAAGTAAATGTTTCATAGAGTGACAACTTTTCATACAACCCACTCGTTCACTGACTTAATGAACTTTAAATATACCTTCAGTGATTTTACGATTGAATTTAAGTCGAAGTAAGATTTCATACTACAAGACTTCTTTAAAGCAGTGCAAGTCAAGACTTCTTGAGAGCAGGCTTTTTTAATTTTTTGGGTCATGGTGGATTAATGCGACTCAAAAAACATTATTTGATACTTTCTCAAGCCTTGCATAAATTCTTGCGATCATTTACACACCTACACAAGCGCAGAGCATCGGCGCTGCATCACTCCTCGCCTAAGCATTCGGATACAAGTGCTCCATCTCCATGTTTTTGGAACTTAATTAAAGGCGAACACATCAACGGCGTGAGTCGGCAATCACATACCTTGTTAGCAGTGTCTGAAAATCTCCGCCTCTATGTTACTTTTCTCAGAAGAACAAAGTGACATCATTCCTTGAAGTTTTTGCAGAATTTTCTTCGCACAGAGAAGAAAAATCACGGCAGTTTCAAAGAAATGCCGTTGAGTAGTTTTCCTTTGAAAAAATAAAGTATGACAGGAGATCTGCGACATCATAAACCGAGTTATGTGATTGCCGACTTACACCGTCGACATGATGATAAAGACTCCAATCTATGCTTAAGTAAGTAAGCAATACTTTTCAAGGTATATGTGATAGCTGTTTCTAGTTACATAGACCCTTGAATCTGATCTTCTTGATATAATCGCATAAATGGACCTAACTTAGGTCTCTTCTGCTCAATGCAGCCTGTCTTGTGTGTGCACGCATAGGCCACTGTAGAATAGACTAGAAGGAAGCAGGAACCCTATTCAATACAAACTCACTAAAATGAAGGGCAGGTGTTAGCAAATTAAATATTAATAACAGTGCCATCTACAATTTGAAAAAATGGGTATTCATCATGAGTAAAACGGCGAGTGCAGGCCAACCACCTTCCAGCGGCATTGAGACTCCCTTAGATTCTGCTGTAGCAGGATAAGTAGCCCAACGATGCTTATCAAAGAAGAGTTCTTGAGACTCAAGAGCTTAAAAATATACGTGAAAAACAGTCTTTTACTTGAACTAATACTGTACCTCATGTAGGAATCCTTCCCGTACTGACACCAGTCAGCAGTCAGGAGGGCGGTCATTGTAGAGAATTACCACAACATTCACGCACAAAATTAAAGAATATTAATTGTGAGGGCAGCCGAATGATCCACGATCAATGTGCATAATTGAAAGAAACGATTAATAATTAGATAAAAAGTTGATAAGAAAGTAGAAAGTACGATTGATTGATATTCTGAATCATTTTGGGAATTGGGGAGGTAACAAAAGGAGGTTAGGTTAGTTTCCCAACACCGGAAACGGAAACCCGGCTATTACGCGCGCGCGGGTCTATCAGATTTTTTGAATATTTTTAAAATGAACGGCGGGACTTTTCGACGCGAAACTTTTGTTCCTACCGATTTGCTTTGGCAAATGTCAGTTTTAACAGAGCGTAAGAAAAGAATCCGCAGAAATCCGCAGAATCCGCGGAGATTTGAAGTCCGCGACAAGAGAAGAGCTTCTCTGCCAACGCTTCAGTCGTTCATCACTGACGAAAAATCAAAGAAGTTTTTGTAGAATAAGGGGCTTACCTCACCTCTCCACATAACCAGCTCGATCCAAGCAGGTCTGATACTGATTGTGTGACTAAGAGAACAGCTTTTGGATACCACGCGTCTATAGAAGTCTTTCAACTGGCTGGGGATGAAAGTGTTGACGGCTTGTTTGACTTCTTCCACTGATTCAAAATGAACTCCCCCGAGTTCAGATTTCAAAAAAGGGAATAAATGGCAATAAAGACTACCATTTATTCCGTTTTAGCGTTTTTGGCGTACTAATGGACCAATTTTGGTTTACTTCAGCTTGTTTGAAAGCTGAAGAGTTCTTTCATTTACACACGTTGCCAAAATTACGAAAAAATGCATATTAAGCGAGATATAGGGGATTTTGCACGTAAGTCCGTTTGATTTAATGCGCTAACCCGGATTCCGAATTAAATCAAAAGGAGCTATCTCCACTCGATCGACGCGCGCGCGGCAGAGCTTGGTGTAAACTTGGTGAAACTTGGTATCGGGGGGTATTTTTGGACGGGAAACTCGAATTCCGGGTCAAATTTTTAAAATTCAGAAATCCAAGATGGCTGAAAATGCTATATTCTTTTTAAACAAACGCACTGCACGTCTAGAATGGCCGCCAATAAACCTGCGTAACGCGCACGGACCGGGTTGTGTAGGGCGGAGGGGGTGGGAGCCCAAATATACCTACCTAACCTCAATCTGCATTCCCGCTGCATCTTGCGAATGTGGATTAGATGTGAAAATTTCCACGTTTGTAAACTTTAAATATATGGCGCTCTACGTTCACAATACACCGCCTCGTCGAGGTGCGTGGTTTACCTAGCAGCGTCGGATCGTGAATTCCCTTCATGTGCTGATTACCTATGTTAAAATTTTCGTATCTAAATAAAAACAGTTTCTGTTGTCATTTTTAGCCCCTAATACCGAACTTCACACAAACGATTCAGGCATTGAGCTATTGTTGAAGGCCACATCCGCCATATTGGATTTTAAAATTTTAACAATGAGGTTATTCAGTAATTTTTAACTTTTGCATTTTTTTTGCAGGATTCAGTACGCACAGTTCGCTGGAATTTTCTCCGATTTTTTGAAACATTATAAACCCACGGAAAACAAGTTAGAAGTTATTCTCAGCTCCCATTGAAACTCGCGTCTCAGAGGAAGTCAAAATGGGGCCTGACGAACCCCTAGATGACGGTCACGCTTTTGACCACGTAATCCTTCCAGCGCGCTCTTAATACTCATGAATTTCTAAATACTGTTCCGATTCCAATAAAGTACCTAACAGTGATTTCAATGAAAATTAAGTGATTCCGATGGGTTTGTTAATTTGTTCGCTCGTTAAAAGCCTGTTATCCATGTCAGAGCACACTGACATCGATCGAGCCAGAGGGAACGCACGGTCGATATGTGACCGTCACTCAGGGGATCTACCAGACGACATCTGGGATTTTTCGGCGATGCGCGTTTAAATAGGAGATAAAATTTTAGGCCACATCCGCCATCTTGAATTTATGAATTTTTAAAATTTGACCCAAAATTCGAGTTTCCTGTCCGAAAATACCACCTGATACCAAGTTTCACCAAGATCGGCTGGACAGGAGCCGAGATAGAATTTTAGGCCATGTCCGCCATCTTGGATTTCTGAATTTTCAAAATTTGACCATCCAACAAGCTTAAATAGTCGCATCAAGTCCCCGTCACCGCTGACCAACGCGTTTGTCGATCGAATCAACTACAGGTAGTATGCGTAGGAAGTCAAAACGCCTTCAATTTTTTGAACGCAATACGGACATCCGTCAAGGTTGTATAGTTGTATCAAGGCGCCGTAGCAAGCGCGTCCCATTGTTTATCGTTACAGACGAATATAAGTTGGGAGAGGCCAGTCATAATGCCTTCAATTTTATACATACATATTTTCGGGCAATATGAGAGACGACATCTCTCCATTTGCGACGTATATAGATTTAGAGGACAAAGGGAAAATGAAGCAATCCTTTGGTGGAAGCGCGCAGGTGGTTGCGATGGACAAAAGAGACAAGTAACGAACGGGAACCTACGTGGAAACTTATAGTTAGTCCATCATTTTCCTTCTTAGTCTATAACAATCATCCGTTTCATTCAATGGGATTGCTTCATTTTTCCTATGTCTCGTTGTCTATCGCTTTGTCTACAAATTTCAATAATCAATCTGTAGGTAGAGCTTTCCGATTTATTCTTACGTTTCAGGTATGAAAGCCGCAAATTCCGAGTTTTTGGTAATAAAGACAAACTTAAGCGGGCTGATTATTGAAATTGATAAACAAAGCTATAAACAAAGAAGACAACGGGAAAATGAGTCGTTTATATGGGTGGAAGCGGGTGGTTATAATGGAGAAATGAAGTGAGTAATAGACTAATCAACGGCAATTCACGAGGGATCGTATAGTCAGTTCATCATTTTCTCCCTTGGTCTACAACAATCACCCATTTCAACCAATGGGATCGCACAATTTTCTCTATGTGTTCTTTGTCTAACGCTTTGTCTATCGATTTCAATAATCAGCCCGCTGACCTGCGAAGTTACTCATCTATATTACCAATTAAACTTGTCCAGGTAGCTTTGTTACTCGCATAGGTTCAAGCATGTCCACCTATGCGAGTAGCAGAATTAGTGTCATTATGTACATCTCTGGAGACTTAAACGCCGGGAGTAAGAAAGTAAGCGACGATTTCAAAATTGCGATGATTACTTCAGACTAAAATTGATGACTTTGAGCCAAAAACTTGTGGCGATTTTTGGAAATTGTTAAGAATTTACAGCTCATAGTGACGTTTCGTTAAAATATTTCATAGAGAATGAAATATTTTTACTCTTTGACAGCCACTCAAAAGTTCAATTGTTTTCCGAGATTTTTGGCGAGGGTTCCTTTTAAAGACAGATACTTACCAATTTTCGATATAGTTTCGAAGGTGCCAAGATAGCACTCTGAGCCACTTCCGCCATCTTGGAGTTTTGAAATTCAAAACTTTGACTGAAAATTCGACCTCTACGTGAAAGACATCCACAGCCACCAAGTCTCACAAAAATGAATCAAGCAGGCTCCGAGACAGCATTTTAGGCCGCATCCACTATCCTGGATTTTCGAATGATGAAAATTTGAGTTGGAGTTCAAGTTTTTGTTTGTTTGTTTGTTTTTTTTTCTTCAAATTATTCATGTATTTATTTTTTATTCCATTTCCAACAGGAGTCGCATATCGCACGAACTATAGGACTCTACGGATGCCAGTGAATTTACCTACGTTAGTGCGCCTTCAATTCCGTCTGATACTGTGCAATACTTCCGAGGTGGTATAGTTGCTCAGAGCGCCTTCAAGAGTATTGCCTCGACTTGATGGCGGAAGATCACGATTGCCGTTGAGATTACACCCTAACGCGTGCGCAGTTACACATTGTCTCATCACCAAAAGTGAGATAAAAAACGTCCATACCTCAATTTGCGACGTTGCAAACTTTTTCACTGCCTATTTTGAATGAGTAAACAAATATGAACACTTTAAAATCTGTCGTGATTTTTCCGAGATAAGACAAAATACATTATTTGAATGTGCTGCTATTGAACTGATTATTATCAGTTCGTGCTATCTTGGCACCCTGGAAACTATCGAAAATTGGTAGGTATCTATCTTTAAAAGGAACCCTCACCAAAAATCTCGGAAAACAATTGAACTTTTGAGTGGCTGTCAAAGAGTAAAAATATTTCATTCTCTATGAAATATTTTAACGAAACGTCACTATGAGCTGTAAATTCTTAACAATTTCCAAAAATCGCCACAAGTTTTTGGCTGTTTTACCATACGCTGGTTATGAATGAAATGATAGTAAAAAATTCAAAATTTAAAGGCTCAGTAAAAATGAGAAATAGAAATGCTTTATTTTTTCCCATTAGTTGTTGACATTCCACGTACGTGAACAGAAGAGAAACCTTATAAAGTAAATGAATTTAGCACCAAATTGGTAAGCACTTCAAATAAAAAATAAAAACCACTTCAGATCATCGCAAGACAAAATCTGAAAATAGCTCCTTTATTTGTATATTAAACTTAATGTCACAGAATAAATAAATAAATTTAATTAAGTAAAAAATAATTATCTATTTACATTCTTTTTTAAAGAATCATTTACAAAACTATACTTAGAAACTAACCCATTTGAGAGTACGAATCCAATAATGGATGCGAGGTAAAAATTAGACTCTGGAAGGTGCTTGGTTAAAAACACACGGACTTTTGTGTAATTCAACTGCAGGCAATATAAATGGTAAAAAATACAAAATTGAAAATAACAATAAGAGTTGGATGGCTTTTAATCGCTGGTCTATTTTCATTGGAAGGCCGGAAAAATATATTTTCTTGATTATACTGCCTCAAATGGGAAAATTTAAGAAAATAAATGCACTTTATTCACATACAAATACAACATCGCTCTAGCTCAGAGGAGCACAAAAACATATTTTTTTCATCAAACGATCAATCGCACGACAGAAACTGACAACGCTCGTGGTAAAAAAAAAAAAAAAAAAAAAAAAAAAAAAAAAAAAAAAAAAAACCGAAAAAAGAAAACTTTGGAACACCGAGAAAAAAATGCAATCAGCGTCTAAACGAACGACGTTTCTATCATTGTCTTTGAGAAATAATATACGACCGTACTCGAGAACTGGGGAGGGAGGGGGTATGGAGGGGGAGGTTGTGTAGAAAGTGAAGTATGATTGAAGGGGAAAATAGTCAATTCTGCAATGTCACCCAATTCTTTCCTCGAGATTTTTACCCTCAGACATGATTCCAAATGCGGATCTCTGTTTCATACGATTCTTCCCACAATCATTATCTTTATTTTAAAAAAATGTCGAGAACCTAGATGCATTTTATTTAGTGCATCGCTATTATCTCATCTTTTGAGAGGTCTGAACTCGTGCATGCTTAGCTGATCTGTGTGGAATATTGCGATCTGTGTGTCTATCTCTACGTCAATATTAATAAATGGATTAGGAAAACACGTATTTAAATACGGGTTTGAATGGCACCTATAATCGTTGTCGATTATCTTTGAAGTGGTGCTCGAATAAGTCGTTCTGTTCGTATTCTTCCATTCTGAGGCAGATTCTCTCTTATTTTCTTATTGGTGCCCAGGCATTGAAATGTTTCTCAAGTGTCAACTTGAACGAGAACAAGCAGTTATAGGAGCATAGGCTCGATAAATTGACAGCTATCTGCCAAGTTTATCACTGTTCCAATAGTTGCTCACTTAATGTGACAGAGTATCGAAAGAGAAAAGGGTAAAAATGGAGATAACTTATCTGTGGATAAAATTGGTTAAGCGCAGAACGTAGAATATTATCGAGGGGTTTTTCGGGGAAAATTCAGATAGCCAAACTTCTTTGTTTTCTTCCACGATTTTATCATCTAACATTTCTAACCCATACTATCAAAATATAACACATTCATGTTTTTTGGATGACAATTGCTTTGCAGATGATGAGCCTTTCTTTCGTTTATTTATTGATTTTATTTTTTTTACTAAGTAAGAAAAATATGGAATGATGAAAATATGAAGATTATGCTGACATCTTAATAAAGCATTGGCTGTAAAATTTTATCCGTAGCAAATGACGAAAATGTTGAACAGTGAGGTCTCAATTACTTTTTCGTCATATCATACAGTCAAATTTTAATGTTGATTATCTTAAAATCAATAATTTAACGATTCGATGATGGAACCAGTTATCACACGGGGTTAAGAAATTTAATTTAAATATAAATTAAATTAACATTAATACGTAAAAAATCATTTTGAAATAAACAATGCCATAACACGGGATTACTCGCCACAGAGGGTATATGCGTAATAATCGGTTTGAATAATCACAGTCAAACGCCAGTAGGCAAATATAAATTCACCATATTTTCAGTTTTAATACAATTTCTTATTTTTAGGTACATTACAGAACCTCAACTTTTTTTAATCAAAAATCCGTAAAAAAAATCGTATTTTCCTACTAAACCGTCCGCTTAAAAATGTGATTAAATTTAAATCATTAATCAATGAAAATAATATATTTCATTAATAAAAAATCATTGACGGATTTAGTTCAGGACTTGAATTTTGAGGTTTCGTAAGGTCAGGATTTTGGCAAAATGGGTTCACCCAAGGGACAATTTGATACAAAAATACAACTTAATGCTACCAGAATGCACAATTGAAATTAGAATTTCCTGTTATTTTATCACCAGAACGTTGTCTCAACGTATGGACCTTATGCATAACATAGTGTGCTTGATATCAAACCATTAAGTGACAGATAAATAGTTTCAAAAGTGGGTTTACCGATTTAACTAAGCAAATTCCGTATGACCCCCGTCTTCTTCCTAAGAAGATGAAAAATCTCGGGTGTGACCCTTTTTTATATTATTTATTTATTTATTTATTTATTTATTCTCTGCGGCAGATGCGTCCACTTTTGAAACTATAAATGTCTCCGATAAGTCAGTTGCGCTAGTCATCGAATTGCATTTTGAATATTGTAACTAGAATTCGAGGCATGATCTGTCCCGAAAACAAAGTTTCAGTATTCGCGCTGTCAAAGAAAATCTCTCCCAGGATAGTCCAGTGGGTGGCAGCAATCTCGAAATTGGAGAGGAAAATTATCAAGCACAAAGACAGCACAAAGGAAGCTCATCTGAAGTTTCACCGCACAAATGAAGGGAGACAACTGGTGGTTTTGCAAGAAATAAGGGGGTGCCAACTCCCTGAGGGGCATTGAAAGTATGAGGGACGGTGATGGTTAGTCGTAATAACAGAGCACGCTGTAAAGGAGGCTTCAGTGTGCGTATAGTACGGAAAAAGAAAGACAGGGGTTAGGTCCCAACTGGACATTTCCAATCAATTGTGGTAGCACCCTAATCAATTGTGACAGTAACCTAATCAATTGTTGTAGTACCCTAATCAATTCTGCCGTGCTAAGGAAGAACGCCGTATGAACTTCCAATTCCAAGTTGCCAAATTTCCCTTGATAAAACATGTTATTTGGATTTTGACAACATTCAGAAGTATTTTTCTTTGAAATTTTCAGATATTTTGGATTAAATCACGTAGAAAATTGTCGAACATTTTCGGAAAATAACATTCGCAATTTGTCCAGGAAATTCGGTTTTTATAGGAGGAAACTTAGCAACGTCTGGCGGCTCATACGGCGTTCTTCCTTAGCACGGCAGAATCGTGGTAGTATACCCCAATCAATTAGGTTACGAGCCCAAATGTTTCGATACCACCCCAACTTGAGTTGTGATACTACCAGCATTAATCAGAAATATCCACCCAACGAACTGGGGGGTAGCACCACAATTTTCGGGGATAACTTCCAACACTTTTTCCCATCAGGATTCTGCCACTAAAACACGATTCTAAGACTAAGGCAACTGGAGCATTCAAAGGCGATCGGGAACTTGTTCTTCACAGGCGATGGCAACAAAATTATCATTATTATTTTCCATGAAAAATTCAAAGAACGAGGAGAGAGCGGTGCTAGTATTTGAGGTCCTTGGAGGGGTAGGCGCTGACAGTGGAGGCCTCGCTCTGGCTCTCGTTCTCGCCGGACAGCTCGCTTTGGATCTGCTCGAAGGACTTGCCCTTCGTCTCCGGCACGACGAAGAAGGTGAAGGCGATGGCCGTCACCAGCATGGCCGTGAAGAACCAGAAGGTGGAGTAGGAGCCGAACATCTCGGCTATCACCGAGAAGAACTTCGTCACCATGAACACGCACGCCCAGTTGAACAGACATGCGATCGACGAGGCAGTGCCTGGAAAAATAATAAAAAAAATGGTAAAAAAAATAATAAATAATAATGGTAATAATAGGTAATGGTAATAATGGTATAATGGTATAATAAATAATAATGGTAATAGTTATTTTTTGGAAATTCTCAAAGCCGCGATTCTTTAAAGCATCAAAAGTCGTAAAATGACTTTCTTGGGGAAAGTGACCTTAATACCGCTATGAAATAGAGTTACGAATTCGCAACAACGTTTTTTTGGGTTTTTCAAATTGAATCTTCTCTCTGTTTGCAAGTTTGCATTAGTTTTTTTTATTATTTTTGTAGGACTGATTCTCAAACATTTAACCCTGTATGGCACAGGTCTACGATTTCGTAACAACGTTTTTTTTTGGGCTCTTAAAAATTGAAGCTTTCCTTTGAGGCATGATTTTGCAAATTTTCATTAGTTTTTTCTTTTTTTGAGGAACCGATTCCCTTAAATTTAAAATTTTGGGGAAAATGTTGGTACTTTATGTTTTTTATGTAAGCTACTGAATAGATTAGTCTCCCCTAGAATCTGAGATCCAAAATTAATTCATGGCATATAGGGGGTTAAAATTTTGAAAAAAATATTTGGTACCCTGTGTTTTTTATGAAAACTACAAAATACTACAGAAGTTTTATTCCTGCGATTCGAACTTGGGACAAATCCCATGAAAAAGTTTCGTGGAGACAAGGCCATAGCTAAGATCGTACAATGGAGATGTTGCATGTGTGAGGGATTTGCGATTTGACCACTGATTCTTATGTAAAAGTTTGCGAGAAACACGATGGTGCCACTGGTTTTCTCTGAAATCATCTCCCAAGCTCAAAAGAAGCCCTCAAAAAGAGGCCAAAATGAAGGGGATATCTCACCCTACCCTGAGAGTCCACCTCTACATCAAAACAAACTCTCCATGCGAAGATAGGGAGCAAATACATTAGCAGTGATGCCGTGTTTTCAATTTTGGAGTCCCCAAATAAAGTGGCAACCCTGCCAATGTATTTGCTCCCTATCTATGTATGGAGAGTTTTTCTTGGTGTAGAAGTGGACTCTCAGGGTAGGGTGGGATATCCCCTCCATTTTGGCCTCACTTTGAGCGCTTTTTTTGAGCTTTGGAGATGATTTCAGAGAAAACTAGTGGCAGCATCGTGTTTCTCGCGAACTTTTACATAAGAATCAATGGTCAAATCGCAAATCCCTCACACATGCAACATCTCCATTCTCACGTCCATAAGCTACTTACTGTAGTATATGATGTTTAGAGTAATTTGTCAATTCTGTTGTCTATCCTGTACAAACGCCACGTTGGATTCTTCGTCTATTTATATGGCACCCGTTAGTCAGGACTCGCGTACTTGCGTGTCTTTTTCGGAATAAAGTATTGTTCCCCCGTCAACCGTGTTTTTAGTGGTTCGATAGAGTCACAGTCATCCGCGTTACCCTTATTTGGACCGAGTTTAACAGAAAGGAACCAAGCTACATCAGCTATTGCCAAGTTTAACTGGGCAATTAAATGTTTTACGAGAGAACGTTTGTTCGGATTTCTTTGAAAATTTTAAGAAATTTGCTTCGTACCAAGGGGAAATTTCACTGAAATTTGCACGAAAATCTGCACAGCCGTTTTCGTGTAAAAAATTAAATTGCCCAATTAAATTCGGCAATGCCTGATGTGCCTTGGTTCCTTTCTGTTTAACGCGGTCCGTATATATTCCACAACCCCGGTACGCGACACTCACCCTTGATTTGAGACGAGAAGATCTCGCCGACCAACATCCACGGGATGGGCCCGAAGCCGAGCGAGAAGGCGATGTTGAAGCCGCAGACGCAGGCGATGGGGAGCCAGCCGATGTTGGAGACGTCCATGCTGTGCTTGAGCATGTAGAAGTAGCCGCCGAGAACGCCGCAGCAGAGGGCCATCACCGTGCCCGAAGTGAGGAGGAGCAGGCGCCGCCCGAGCTTGTCCACGATCACCGTCGCAATGTAGCAGGAGATCACCGAGACCACACCCGTCATGATCGTGCATAGGTCTGGTGGGATCGTGCTGCCGGCACTCTGCAAACCAAAAGAGCACACATTTAGACTTTGTTGAAACGTGTTGGGTGGTTTGGTATGGACATGTGCGGAGAATGGCAGATAGTAGGTTGCCCAGAAAGGTATTTGATTGGGTTTCTCCCGGAAGAAGGCGGCGTGGACGTCCAGTAAAAGGTTGGCGAGAGGGAGTGGAGGGGGAGATCAGACGCTGATTTGTGGGAGGATCGATTCCGATGGCGATTTGGAGTCGCAGAGCGCGCTAGTGCGCTGAGGTAGCGGCTTGATATGTATGTATGTATGTATGTATGTATGTATGAAACGTGTTGGGAAGTCGAAGATGACATCGTGTTCGACGTCATGACCAAACAGCTAGTCTGGTATAGAGTACCTATATAGGGAGAGTATGGACAACTCGAAATATGTAGCTCTTAGGGCCAAGAAGGGTAGGTAACCTTTGAAAACGAAAAATGTCACTGTCAATCTTTAGACTCCAATATCAAACAAAAATGGACAAGAAAATTCATAAGTAAGCATTCTCCCGCAAAAAAATGAGTAAGTTTATGCAAAAACCAAGTCAAATACGTGCTTTACCAACGACAGTTCCCAACAATTGTGATTATAAATCACTCTGGATAATTTGAATTCATAGATTGCCTAACCTTTTGAGGTCTAAGAGCTCCATCACCTAACCTCAGAATTTTCGACATGTCCATACTCTCCCTGTATAGGTACTCTGGTACGGTGATGTTAATAGGATGACGGAAGAGAGGCTGCCGAAAAAGATGCTTGATTGGGTTCCTCCTGGGAGGAGACGAAGGTGGCGCCCAGTGAGAGGGTGGCGACAGGGGGCTTTAAACTAGATGAGGGAGTGTCAACTCCCTAATGGATTGTGGGAGGGCCGAGTTTTGTGGCGATTAGACATCGCATAGCGTCAGAGAGCGCTATAAAAGCGACTCATATGTATGTATGTATGCATGTATGTATGTATGTATGTATGAAACGACTTTAGATTTATGGACAGCGTTTAGCAAAAATAGATGGACCTCTGCGGGCTGATCATTGAAATTAATAGACAAAGCTATAGACAAAAAAGACGTAAGAAGTATGGAACGATCCTGTCGGTGGAAGCGGGTGGATCCAATGGACAATGGAGGCATTGAATAGAATAACTAACGGCAACCCACAAGAGACCTTGTAATTAGTCCATCAGTTTCCCCCTTGGTCTATAACAACCACCCATATCAGCCAAAAGGATCACTCTATACCCTCTGTATCTTCTTTGTCTATAGTTTTGCCTATCAATTTCAATAATCATCCCGCAGTTGATTAAATTATAAAGCATGTTTTGCAAATACCCAAGTTACAAGAACTCTTACAGATACCACTATTTTGACTCCTGGGTAATCATTTTGCCTATACTGTCAAATGCAGGCGAATCAACTGCCGAGTTCCTTACGAGACAAAAAAGGACTCACTGAACACACGTGATGATCAGAGCGGCAGATCAGGGGCTGAGAAAAAAAGTGAGGGTGTTTGACATCCACATGAGGTCTCATAAATTACCATTTAGGGCCGAAAGTATTAGAAAGTTTTTCCCTGATTAGTGTCGTCGGAAAATTACAAAACAGAGAGGAAGAGAACCAAACGTTTAGAGTCATAGTCTTATTTCTGAATGTGTCAATAAATCTGACTAAAAATGGGCTGAGCCGCGAGCATAGCTCGGCTTGGAAGATTGAACAGCCAAAATTTTTCGTCACTCCATGTTGAAAAGAGATGTCAAACATTTTAACTAGGGCTGCATTGGTCACTTTTGGAATCTGAATCAGTTTTCGCGCAATGAGAGGTTGTCGATGAATTAATATTTACGTTTCACACGCCCCGCCGGTAATTAGAGCAGAGGTCGGTGACTTCGTGAAGTTTCGAGGTTAGTGTAAGTTTACAGGAAAAGGAGACAAAATTGAGGGCGTGCTCGAGATGAATTTAAAGCCGGGGGGCGTGAATACTAATTTTGTCACCGACCCTCGTTGAAAAAGAGGGACTCCATTCCCCCTCGCTCCTGTTTTTCACCCTCAGCCCCTGTTTACCTCTTTTATCTCGTCTCCTCCAGTGTTTAAAATCATTGTGAGGTAATTAAAACGCCGTGCGATTAACTTCAAGAATCAAGAATCATCTCCAGCTCCTTCGCCTTTAATTGGACCTATTTAAAATAAGAAGGAACTGTCTTCATCGCAATTTAGGCCCTAAGGTCCATGAGAATGTATGCAAGACAGGGTCCTTATTACGGTGGAGTTAGGTTCTTTTGATTTAAATAAGTTCAACTGAGCCCAGTTTTTCCTCTTTCCGATGGATATTAGTACCTTATTACCTTCTCCATTTTATTTTTTGTCCCTATTGCTACGCAAAGGTATGCTTTCGCCAGATGCTCAGTTGCCATGACTCTTTTATTGTTTTATGTGTTGAGGCGTTCTTAGCGAATTAATGGGCGGGATGTACAAATATGGGGGGAAAGTAAACAAGAGGTCAACAATATTTGAGCCTGTTAGTCCGGTAAAGAAACTGATGGACCCGGAACAGAACTATAATTAAAATATTGTCGACAACGTTTAAATGAATTTTTGAGGGATCTTAAAAATTGTTGTTAATAATCTGAAATTTAGCATCAGATCAACCTCAAAATATTTTCGTCGAATTGTAGACGCTATTTTGATATTATCTTATTAATATTTTTAGTTTTACTGTGTATTGTAGTTGGCGGCGCGCCAAAAATCATTGGCAAAGTTAATTGCTCCAAATCTCAGTCTTGGTTACCAGAAAATCTTTGATTAAATACAAAATGCATTCATTCACTGATTCACATCCTATTTACATCTCTCGTTTCATTCAAAACCTAGACAAAATTCAGTTTCTTGTTCATTTTCGGAAGTTATCTCGCTTCTTCATCACATATCAGTAAAGATAAATCATTACCGCCTGATATTTCCTTTGATGCGTGTTCACCCACCACACTCCTTAGTGACGTCATATGTTGGATAAAAGGTTGGATCTTATCCGTCTCTTGGTCATCTCCCATCTGCAACCCCCATCCGAGTCAAGTGTCTCACCCTTGAGAGATCTGTAGCCATATTTTATATCATATGTATACGAGTGGTGCGGTATTATTTTTATTGTAGTGTGGTATAATTTACTCAATTGAGAAAGGAAATGAAGAGCAAATCCAGAGCGTCAACAGGAAAAAAGGGTGAGTCAAGTTTGTAGTTTAGAGAATTGAGTACAATGATAATTGAATCTTATTGGAATGGAAGAGGATGTGTTTGCAGCAGAGTGATCCAGAGACAGAAAATGAAAATAGTTCAAAACTCTGATTTTCATCCCCTTTTCATGACCCAGATTCCAAGTCTTGGCAAAAAATCTACAATTTTAAATGTGAATATTGAGTGTTAACTGCATAATGCGCCAAAAAGAAGTGTGAAATTCTAATTTTTAAGCATCAGACGGGCAGTTTGAACTTTCGTTCTGCCGTTGGGATCCATCTAATTTCGAAATTTCAAACATGGTTTTCTCGGAATAGCAAAAACTGCACTTACGCGCCTTCTGCCGTGCTAAGGAAAAACGCCGTATGAACACTCGGGAGTTGCCAAATTCCTCTTGATTGAACCAATATTTTCCAGAAAATGTATGCATATTTTTCCTCGAAATTTTATCAGATATTTTAGATTAAATTGCGTATAAAAATCTCTGAAAATTTGAGAAAATAATATTCACAATTTCCCCAGTAAGTTCGGTTTTTATTGGAGGAAACTTGACAACGTCTGAAGGCTCCTACGGCGTTCTTCTGTAGCACGGCAGCCTTGTCCTCCAAGCCCCTCAAATGTAGTGCATACGGACTGCATTTTGCAATTTGGAGCTGTAAATTCTAACTCATCTGAAAAAACACTTATGTGCATAGGGAAACTAATGGCACAGACGTCGTTTTTAAACCGGGCTAGAATGTATAGTTCTACATTGCAAAATGTAGTCCATATATCTCTGAGCTCATTAGACGATAGATATACTCCTCTTATGAATACATTGGTTCATCTCAGCCCGGAGGTAAATCTTGACTGGCTTTAAAAGTTCCGAATAGATGGATCAAAGGGACATAAAAATCGCTGGCAACATGAGGGACGATCACCAAACCAAGACGTCATCATTGGCGCGAGAGGATGTGAAATTTATGACGGGGTTGACACGAAACGGTAGCGATTTTCATTGTTTCCGGCTCAGAATCGTGACGGATACGTAGCCTTCAACCTCAGTTGCCAACCTCCGCGACTGAAATGTTACTAAGGACGACCACGTCTTTGTCTTTTCAGAAAGTTCCGCTCGAGTTGACAATCCGAATCCTTGCACTTCCTGCGTCTCGTTTGATCAAAAAAGGACTTACTTGGAATATTTGTGTCGTGTAGAAGATGACAGCGTTGATTCCGGAGAACTGTTGGAAGAACATGATACCCAGTCCAATCACGAATCCTTTCTTGGCGGCTTTTGATCTGATGGCGATTGCGAGCGGGACCTTTTCTCTTTCATCCTGCGCAGAAAAGTCAAAAGCGATGAATTGCTGATGTCTAGCCGCGAAAAAATGAGCGGTTTTCGGATTGGATCTCCTTGATATTAGAGCATTTTTCAAGGGGTTTCAAGGAGGAGAGGTCCTCAGTCAATGTATACGTGAGAAAGATCGCATACACTCTGAGATTCAGCGCAAATTGCGCGATGGAGCAATGATGATGGTTAGTCTTCTCTGTCTATTTTTTTCTCACAACATCGCATCAAATTAAATGTAACGTAATATCGTCACCTTCCAGCCAAAGTATCACAAGCGCCATGCGACGTTTCAAAATTTCCACCGGCATTTTATTTTTTTACAGAAAAATGTTTCAACGAATCTGACCAAAAATTTCACTGAATCGTCACTGCTCTGCCGATAAAATTCAGTGACATTTTCACAAAGATGCAACCAAAAATTTCTCGGTAAAAAATAGAATGGCGGCCGAAATTTTGAAACGTCGCATGGCGCTTGTGATACTTTAGCCAAAGGTGACGATATTGCTTATGTACAGGTGAGGGAACTTACTTGTTCACGGAAGTAAAAGCGATCAGTATTTAAGGCTTTGAAGAGCTTGCAGCTGTCCCTTATTTGTTGTAAGATTTGATTCAAAACTGAAACGTTGGCGCGAGCTAAGCAAAAAGATATCCTTGATGTTTAAATGTGTCCACTTCGTGACCATTCACGAGATAAAGCCTTAGCGCCAAACCCTTGTGACCATTTTTCTTTTTTTTATTAGACTCTTTTATTAAGCTGCGCCAGTGTAACATGGTGTTTCACACCTTAATATATCGACAATGTAAGTCGGCAATCACCTAACTCATTTGCTGTGTCTGAAAATATCCGCCTCTATGATTTTTTTAAAGGAGAACAAACTGACATCATTTCTTGGAGTTTTTGCAGAATTTTCTTTGCACAGAGAAGAAAATTCAAGACAGTTTTGAAGAATTGCCGTTGAGTAGTTTTCCGTTGGAAAAATGAAGTATGACAGGAAGTCTGCAACGTCGCAAACCGAGTTATGTGATTGTCGACTTACACCGTCGATATCTATTTAATGCATGAAAGATGACAGCATGTTAATTAATTTTGTCATAAATCCTTAGTAATTGTTCAATTTAGGAACGCACGATACTCACGATACGCACGATACGCGGTTAACTTAGCAGTTTCCATTTATGTAATAAATTAATCAAAGTTCATACACCTGCAAAGTTTTAACTTGGTCAAAGTTACTACAACTGTTAAAAGATTTTTTCTTACCCTGTCGATGATGTCCAACATCTCCTTGATTTCACCGTTAATATCGTACTCTGGACCACGGAACCACTGTAGGGACATTTTAGCGTTTTCCACCTCACCTTTTTTAAAGTGGAAAGTGGGAGATTCTGGCATGAGCCCCATGAGACCGGCGTACACTAGAGGAATAACGGCACAGGTGATGGACATCCAGAAAGTATTCAGCTGAAATCACAATTGTTAATTGTATAGGCTTTTACTTCCATCGCCTAAAATATTAATTTAATTTCTGGAAGCAGTGTTCTGCCCTCCCCGGGCGCCATGCGCCAAATGCGCCTATAAAGTATAAACCGGGCCTTGGCGCCTAAAAATTGGGGGGGGGGGCGGCTGGGCCATTGTGGCGCCTAAAAAATTTGACAGATTGAACTCGCAATTGGGAAGCAGCGGTAGCGGTGAAGCGTTCTCTATACGCACCGTTTGCGGCATCGCCATGGCCCGTATGCAAAAATTTAATTTGGCCCCTAAAAATTAGTATATGGCTCCTAAAATATTATGGGAAAGGCAGAACACTGGATGGATTTTTTCTTGAGCACAGTCCTACCGACAGTCAGTACTTCCTTTATGTAGGCGTGACCAAGTTTTCAGTTTTCTTCACTTCTGGATATAAGCTTAGTAAGAGTAAATGGGTATCAGCGTTCAATTTGTTGTTAGGGCATTGTCACTTAGCTCTAAAGTGTTCGCATTGGGGAAATGCTCCTTCAACTTGAAAGTGTTTACGCACGAATGCAACACACTGTATTGCGTACAGTAAATTGCATCTTTAACAATTGAAGGCACTTTCATGTTGCTCCAGGATTGTTTGTAAGTAAGTACGTTGGCTCGGATACGGACGACAAAAAGAAGTCTCGTTTAGATGTGTGTAGCTAGGACTGAGTATAAAGATTGAATTGCCTAAAATATATTTTGTAAAAATACGAACTATGTTTTTATTATGCTATGATGTCCAAAATGTTAGACAGATTTGAAACGGAAACGCTGTCGTAAGTTCGTAACTCTTGTAAAACGCAGCTGGATTTCAAAATCAGATATCGGAGTGGTTTGCTCCTCGAAGGAAAAATAACGAACTCGGTGAATTTTATGAGCATGTGAAACAAAAATACACGCGTAGAAAAATATAACACGAAGTTTGATATCCTATTTCATAACTTGGTTTTCCTTCCCTTATTATACCTTTTCCGCTCATATTAGTAGGCATATACTTTTGACTCCCTATAGGTGTATGATTAGGAGGCGCGCGAGTTTATTTCAGATGAGCTTGTTTAAAAAAATTAAGTAAATTAGCTAAAAAATACTATCCTATAATTATACTCTTCGGTGTTGAGTAAGAAGCGGCTGAGACGCCATAAGTTTGGAGTATTCATGTTATCTACGAGACGCATTGTTTTGTAACTTTTTAAAAGAGGCCAATCACTAAAATTAGAGCAAGTCGAACAGAGTGAATTAACCCGGAAAGTAAAACATGCTTCACTCATCGAGGAAATTCGCAAAATTTCAGCGATGATTTGGGTCAAGGAGAGCAGAGCTTTCAGGAAAATGTGCTCAATCGCACAAGATTAAAGTTCAAGGTGTCTCTGTGACAAAAATGCGAAAAGCACTTGTTGAAAGTAAGTGTTGAACCGCCGCGATCACTATAGTTAAAGTACGAGGTCTGTTAGATTAGAAACCGGATTTTGGTCATAACTAGCGCACAATGCGTCCGAATTAGGTTTTTTTGAGCTTTCCTGATAGCTGGAAATATACTTAAGAACGCTACGTTCACAGATTTTGTTTATTTTGATCAGTGTTTATTCTGTGTCATCTTGAATACGAGTAGGTCAGGTGCGTTTTGCGATTTTCAGCATGCGATCACTGATAGAGCAAAGACTCAACATTTAATTTTGTTTTAAACTCGGTATACTCTGTACCGAAACTTTTGGTATGCTAAGTAAAGTTTACCAAGATCATTGTATGAGATGTTCTCACTGTTTTGAGTGGGTTAAACGATTCAAAACTGGTCAGAAGTTCGTCAAAGATGAGGAGCATGGGAATCGACCCTCAACGGCAACTGACATTTGTCACGTGGAAGAAGTGCGAGCAAAGGTGCCCGAAAATGGTCGTTTCGAGCTTGTTGAACAGAGTAATATTTCTGAAGGCTCTGCACATACAATTTTGATAGAATATGTAGACACGCATCGAGTTTCAGGTACACTTGCCCCTTGATTGTTGTCCGTTGAACGAAAATCCAACCAAATGTCAATTTCTCTTTAGCTGCTTGAACGTTGTAACAATGATCCTACATTTTTGGATAGGATAATTTTCGGTGACAATACTTTAAGTGTACGGCTACGATATGGAGACGAAACTCCAATCGTCCTTGTGGGTTGAAAAATGTAGTGCAAGACCGAAAAAAGAGAGACAAGTTCGGTCAAACATAAAAATCGCAAAACATCCTTGAGGTTGCCTAACTTCAAGCCACATACCAACAAAGCTAATTATGATTTTTCAAATTTGTGAACGTAGCGTTCTTTAATATATTTTCAGGTATCAGAAAAGATCAAGAAAACGTAATTTGGACGCAGTGTGGGCTAGTTCTGACCAAAATCCGGTTTCTAATCTAACAGACCTCGTATACGAATGACAAAAATAATACCGCAAGGATCTCTCATTGTCTGCCTTGAGTTAATTTGATTTTATAGATGTTCCTTACTTGAAATAAAATCAGCATTCTAAGTTTAAAGTTCCAAGCTGATCATGTTAATTTCTGACACCAAAATATTTATAAACATGTTTTAACAATATATTGATTCCGTTTCAAGGTAATTTTAGTATGTCAACAAAATGATCCGTCTACACAAGTTATAATAATATCCTTGCGATGATGAGCTCTGAAACACGGTTAATATGTTGTAAAATGCTGGTGTCAACATGGGCTCTTTTCGATTTTTTTCAGCAAGAGGAGTATCAAATTTTATTGAAAATTTATCTTTAACCTTTGAACAAAAGTAGAAAATGAAAGGATGTTGCTGGTTAAGTTCGAAAACCACACAATTGAGTTTCAGTCGCTTGAACATGATTCATAAAAATCATTATTTTACAAAATTGCTCATGCCTTAACTTTATCTTTAGAAACTCTCATAGTATTTATTACGCGAAAGGTGTTGAACAGGTTTTTATAATCTCGTAATGGCAGAAGTTATTTAGTTTTCCGGAGTTTTGCAAAATCCGCTTTAAGTGATTTTCATCCGAGTTACGGATTTAGGAGCTAAGGTTCAACTCAATGCTGACATGTACGAATTCAAATATGACCCGATGTGACTCACAATAATTTATGTATTAAAAATGTTTGATTGTTTTATCTGCTGGAGTTCGGTCAAACATTTGGTAGTCATTAAATGAAATCATAAATAGTTTAATGTTCTAACTTGTTACTTGGTTCTTTTAAAAATGGACTATTGATATTGTTTTTTCCTCTCTCGAATACGAGCGGACCAGGAGCAGAAGCATAAACGAAAACATGTTGATTATCAAACAAGATTGACGCAGTTCAAAGTAGAGAACCTCTTCATCAGAGGCGTACATCGTTTGAAGCACTCACTCTAGCATTTGATATTGAGACGTTCCAAAAAAAAAAAAAAAAAAAAAAAAAAAACTCCTGGAGCAAATAGCTGCGTCACGGTATGAGCGCCATGCCACTTGAAAAGCGATTTTGTTTCGAAGATCATCAGGGTGTAAAGTCAGTGCACTGTTTTCTCTCTCGAACACATTTTGACGTAGGTGCCTTTGTTCAGTGCACTTTTATCCTAAGAGAGCGTTCGCTCGTTCGCTAGTTCGCTCCAGACGTTTTTTTGGCTTCTTGCTTTTTGTACCAATGTAGTAATATAATTACAGCAGAACTTATTTTAGTAGCGTATATTCCAAACAACTTTGGAATCAATCGTTATTATTTTTTTTTTCCAAAATTTGATTAACAGTCAGGTTTTTCCTCATGCATAGTTTCCGCCCATTATAAGCAGCTTTCCTTTCTAATGGCTTGAAAATTAAGGAATAAAATGTTACTTCACTTTAGCTAGGAACGATTAAGCACAAAAACACAGCCCGAATATACGAGTAAAGAAGGAGAGAAGTAAAACATGGGAGAACAAGGCTAAAACATTTAAAACACTAAAAGACATTGAACACTAACACTGTATTCCGGTGGTCACGTGATAACGGCTGGAGTCAGGTCACCACTCTATTTTTTATTCGTTTTTTTGTGTATGTGGTTTTTTGCAGCTGAAAATGAGCTGATACACAGCAGCTCGAAACGTCCTGCCTTTTAGTGTTTTTAATGTTTTAGCCTTGTTTACCCATGATTTAGTTCTCTCCTTCTTTATTTAGCTGGGAATTGTTGAGCATTCACCAGTAGAAAATGAGTCAGCTGTAATCAGAGTGACACAATAAAAATGATAAATGATTATATCAACTTACAATACTTCCAATAAGGTAGACGAAGAGGATTCCGATGACAATTTGGAGTTGGAAGTAAGTACCTAATGTACCTCGAATCGAATTTTCTCCGATTTCACCAGTGTACATAGGACAGACAATCGAGAAACTTCCACAAGCTGCTCCGAGCAAAAACCTACCGCAGCAGAGTATGAACACCTGAGAACAGATCAGAACCAAATCAGAATTTTTGACTGCGTAAACTTCAGAGAACGTTAAAAATTACTCGACTTTCTGAGAGATGAAGGGTTTCTCGGCATTATCCAAATCAGCAACAAGTGCAAAATTATTGTGTGGAACGATTCGTTATAATCAAACTTCTCAAGCTGAAAGCACCCGCTAGAAATCGTGGTATTTTAGGTAATTCTCCTTTAATTTAAATTAATTAATTACTCCTTTAATTAATATATCTCGAGTCTATGTCTTATAAAGCGATCATATTCGAAGAAAGTGTGTTGCGCATCATCTATGGTTTCTCTAGTACAGAATATACAATTTGGACTTTGTGCGAGCTTGAACCTGTGGAGATAGAATTTAAAGTTTCCATGGCCGGTAAGTAGCTGAGTCATGAAGAAATCAGTCTCTAATTTCCGATTGCGAAAGAGCCATTCTTCTCTGTCTGGAATCAATTTTTTGAACCCCTCATCTCTGCTAGGGGCTGCTACCCATGATTCACTCCATTGGTGAATAATGTCGGACCTAATATCTGTAAAGTTTTCAAATCTTCTAAATCTCCTCATTCTTTTTTCGATTTGCAGGTGCACTGGCGGGAAGCCAGAGATGACGTCAAGACAACTATTTGAAACAATTCTGTAGGCTGAGCATAACCTTGGCTTCACTGAAAAAAGTGGTATGCTGTTTTAGCACCTAGGATGTCAAAAAAGTGTCTAGTGATCCAAAGATGCTACCTTGATTGCCCACGCAGTTGAATTTGCATTCATAGGATGTAAAGTTAACTGCGAAGGCAGTAGAGGTAGCATCTTGGGACACATTTTTGACATGCTAGGTGCTAAAACAGCATATTATTTTTTTCAGTGTTGATTGGGCGGAGGGTACTTTCTATGAGTTTAGCCTTGCTCTTTTTCATAGCATCTTGATGCCAAGCCGATTATCGCAGGATATAGTAAAAGTGGTATAGAGTTGATACTCACGGACTCAGCCCAGATTATGGCGCACCATCCAATAGTGGTAGGCGCGACCAAAAACAACATGAGATTCTTTCGGCCGAAGACGTCGACAGTGAGACCAGTGATGATGCACCCGATGATGGCACCGATGGCCATGATGCCGCCCACCCAAGACATGTCATCTTCCGTCACCGGGAACCCGTATTCACCGTCCATCAGTTTCGGCCCGGCCGGCGAGGACCATGCCAGGATGTTCCCGGCGATGAAACCACCGATTGTCGCTGAAAAATGAAAAAAAAAAAAAAAAAAAAAAAAAAAAAAAAAAAAAAAAGAAATAGAACTAATGTTAAAATCTTTCAAATGATTAACATATTTTTTTTTACTTACACTGGTAAAAAAAACCTCTTGGTTCAAGAGTGAAGTTTCTTGTCGCCGGATTTAAGAGTCTGGACTCTTGTTTCAATGCAAAATCCGCTTGAAACAAGAGTTCAAGACTCTTAAATCCGGCGACAAGAAACTGCACTCTTAAGTCAATGCACCGCGGCATTGGTCCAAGAGGTTTTTTTTACCAGTATATTTTTAATCCATTATTTGGACGTATTTCTAAAAAACAGAACTAAGGGCCATCGGGGGAGGAAAGGAGAGGGGGGGCTTGGATTGGCGGGTGTTGCGGCACGCGATGCTCGTTCCGTCCTATACTCGCAATATGTTTTTCCATGGCGCCTATAGTTCCGTTCGACAGAACGCACTATCCGGGATTCTAAAATCTTCAGAAGGAACTCAATTTGGCGCTTAGTTCCGTTTAAAAGAAATACGTCCATTTATGAGGGGATGAAGAGCCAAAGAGACCGGTGAAGGTGGCGCAGCGTGCTTCGTGATATATCGATTGATCTTTTAAGTATGGAAAAATATCGATGATCAGGGTCTTTGCAACGAACACCTTAATAATCGATTCTTTATCATAGCTTCAAATTGGGAAATATCGATAATCGATCATTTACGCCTCGCCACTGAAAGAGACTAAACAGAGGCACCAGTCGAGGTACGAGCCTTCTGTTACATATTTTCTCTTGAAAAGTTTACGTCAAAATAATGAGAAGCTTGGAGGACAGGAGGAACAAGTTCAGTTTTTGCAAAAAAAATGAGATATTAATAATTTCAACCTGAACTAATCCCAAAATATACTCTGAGAAAGAATCAGTGCTAAAATTCAATTTATAAGCATTAAAAAGTGAGTTTGAACTTTCTTTCGGCCGTGCATAAGGCTCCATGTAATATCAAAACTTTAAACACGTATTTCTTTTAATAGGAAAACTGCACTTATTTTTGTCCTCTAATCCCTTTAAATGAGATTCTTACAACGAGAAGTTCAAAAATCCACCCCACGAGAGGGCACAAGTAATAATAATTCACACCAGTTAAATGTCTAAAATACAAATGATGTCATTCATATACTTTGTGTTATATTTGATCAGTGTCAAGTGCACAAATGTATATCAATAACTCACCTGAGAGTTGAATTTCAAACTTTTCGTTGCGTTATGGCTTCTTCATCAGCATGTATCTTTTCCTGCAGCTAAACGGTAAGTAAAGTCTAGGTTTAAGTTGTAGGCCCTGCATTCCGAAATTATAAGTATAGCAGCATTCTAAAGTTCATTATCGTCTCACGTATATCGGCCACGTCACCCAGGCATTTGAGTTGACACAATGACTACCTGTAGGTACAATGACGCATTGGCATTGGGTAATCAAATTGAAATTCAGCATCCCTGTTGTATATTCTATTATACATGTATGCGTATGCATTTTAACATTTTATTTGTTAGTATGTACATGATACTTTTCAGTGTAAAAAGACACTTACCGGTAAGAGCAGCAACATATTGCGTGGTCTTTTTGGATTCCTTGCGCACAACAGGCTCCAAAACTTCGATGCTGAACGCTGTCTTTTTATCCATGTCTTTGTGGTCCAACAACGGCTCTAAATTTTCGCGACGTGCCTGAAATCAGACATAAATAATACTATATCAGTCTAGAGAATCATATATTTTCAAGCATAAAATTGTTAAACCTTCTAAACTTCTTGAAATGAATTTTAAAAAAACGATAGACAAATAGTTCAAATTGAGAATATTGACAATTTCCCCCAAGATAAAACAAAATTGGTAGGGAAAATGGGGTCGGAAATCAGAGGAAAATAAGTTCATGTAGGTACAAACACTTGGGAATATCCACAAAAGTAAACGAAGAAAATCGACCCGCAAGTCTCAAAACGAACGGAAGCAACACAACTGTAAACAGAGCAAGGGAAAGGAAACGCTTTGATAACGGCGCAGACATACAACTATTCGTACTCGATGGATATCCGTGATGTATCTGGAGAATGGAAGGCGCTTTGGCGCGAGGCGTGATTTCGCAATGCTCCGCTCTACGCTGCCAATGATGTGTCATTCAGATCCCGGAAAAAAAGTCAAATATCGAGGCTCAATTATGTCTCCCCCATTTTCGACCGTGTTGACACCCGATTTTATCTTTTTTCTTCCAATTTGATGCCTAACGCGAAATTTTGAAGTGATCACTTTTATTAATAAAAGTGATATTTTTGATTAAAAGGAAAATGTATGTGCGTGGGTAACTCGTGCTTAAAATGGACCATTTAATTTATGCTGTATCAGAATTGGAAAATTGCACGTGTGTTTAAATTCGTACGTCTTAATTTAGGAAAGGCTGCACGTAGATAGGAATGTAATAATTATTTCTTGGATACTCACAAATTGAGATAATTCCCTTTTTCTTCACTAAACCAATGAAATTTGCTAAATTGAATTCGGGGGAAAAACTTTGTCTCCTGCTTATTTCGACATTTTTAAGGAACGAAAATATCTACGAGTTAAAACTTAAGCAAGGTTTCTCACACATGAAAATAAACACCGAAAAAACTTTTCAGGAACCACTTAGGTCGTTTTAGCACTACATATCAACGAATTCACGCAAATTTTGAACTAAGAAACTTAGACTAGTCTTTAGACAAAGAAAACATAACAACTTTAACTAATGATAATAAAAACTGAAAGAGGAATCTAGAAAAGTAATCAGATCGTATATCGCAAGACCGCGGTGTTCACATTTCGAATGAACATTTGAGAGGAAATCGCACAAATTGAGATTTAATATTTGAAAAGATAAGCTGAGCGGAAGATAAGAGAAAACAAACATAAAGTGAATTGTTCTGCAGAATAGGAATGGAAAAAAAATAAAGGAGGAGAGGAGAAACTTCACGGGTCCGTCAAGTACGATTTTTGCACTTTACTGAGTCAAGTGACTCTCTGGAATAAACAACCCATTCAACGAACGAATAAAGCGATATCTTAAGTGCTTTATTTATTATCCTGATACATGATCCAAAAGGCTGACGACTTTGCCTTGACTTCTGTCTTTCTAAGTTCTTGGTAATATCCAGCGACCAAAAGATGAACACAGCTCCTGACGCATCTTCAAATCACTTCCATATTTTTAGTTATTACTGATGATATTTATCTATACTACTTCAGAGGGTAGCAATAAAATATTACTAATTTTAGTAAACTTTATTCATATCATTAACTTGAAGAGTATTGCTCCAGGTTTTGTGCGAATATTTTCGTAACATTATTGTGGTAGGTAAGAAACCAGGAAGTAAAGCTCAGTTTTATCACAGGACTTGAGATTGCATGATTGCATGGCGTATTATTTATCACCAACATTGATAGTTCTAATCCGTAGATATAGGCTGTGTCCCAGAGGAGCATAATAAAATTCAGTTGGCTTAGCTCAGTACACTTGTCAGATGCAGGTAACTTGAGCCAAAACACTTCACGAAACAAGGGTTTCGTGTTTGCAGCTTTGCTCGTGAAAAATTGAAAGAGATAAACAGAACATTGACAATTGTTATTTTTTTGAAGATTTAAGAGCTGCTGAGAGGCGAGAGGCCCTTAGAATTCAGATGGGTGAGCTCTACTCCTCATATTTAAATTATCAATCCAGCTACAAGGTACAACACATGATGGTATCAAGTTTAAAATTTATCCAAAAGAAGGGTTAGAGTTAGCTGCAAAAATTTGAATTTTGATGAATTGTTGCTGGAGGTTAAAAGAATTTTCAAGCGTAAAAAACAATTTTCGAGACTCAACCGTTTTTGCAACTCTTTTAAACTTAACATGAAATTAAACTTGATAGGTCTTATTGTAAAATGCCGAGCATCAAAAATCCTGCTATGAAAATGATATGTCTGGCTGATTAATTACTGTGCAGTCTATTACTGTGCACACAATCTCCCTCTTGTAAACTATATTTTTAGTCATTTGGACATTTTTTAATTCTTAAAAATGCGCTCTCCTCGATAAACCTTAGACTGCATATCCATGAATGTCCATAATCATGAATTTCATTGTGAGCTCATGTTTTAGATAGATGTATCATTCCCTTTTCAATAAGAGTAACCAAGAATTTCCCCGTATGAATTCCATTTTAAAACGTCATTATAAATGAAGAATCGGAACAACTGCCCACAGAAAATCTACATGCATAGTTTTCGCTTTATTGCGGTTCTTGATAAAAAAAATTGGGACTCCAACAGTATAATTCCGAAAATTCCACTCAGTAAAAGTGTACTTTTTAGATAAATGAATGATCAGTCAAAAACATGCATGTTGTAACTTTCGCAAAGAAATTCAGGTTAAAGCTTGCAAGCATTGTAAAGATTACACACGATTTTCCTCGTTCTTAAAGCATCCAAAATTAATAGCTCAGAATTGTTTTAAAAACTAAAAACTAAATCACCTTTTTTGAAAATAGAGTCATTCATGGGAGAAAGAATAACCGTTCAAATTTATCAAGGGCTCGTCCTACGTATTTTAGGTCCAAGGAAGGGTCCGACCTGATCCTCCGATGGGTTCGTCTTTTTTCTTAATCACACTTAAGTATTTGAACTTAAGTATTGAACACGTAAGTATTGTGAACTACTGAAATTTACCCTTAAAAAATACAAGGTACTCATTGACCAGAACATGCACCAAAACTTTTCTGGCGTTGAAAATCATCTCAAGTGTTTATCGATACCTAGCCGCAAAATAATCGAACAAGTTTGCTTCAAATTTAGATTTATACACAGGGGTAGGTGGTATGAGCTTTTGAATGAGCGACGACTTCACAACATTAATTTCCGCTTTTACTAAATAATCCGTTTTTTTAGTGCAAGATCCGCATATCTATATTACTCTTCACTACATCACTACATCGCTACACTACACATGCGCTGTTCTTCGTGTCCATACAAAATAATCGGACAAGAGTGTTTGATATTCAAATTTACGCGCGAGTGACGCGTGCCGATTTCACAACATTAATTTACGTTTTTACTGAATTATCAGTTTTTCAATGCAAAATCCGCACACCTATATCGCTCACCACTACACCACTACATCCGCACATGTGCTGTTCTTCATGTCAACACAAAATAATTGGATAAGCATGTGTTTGACATTCAAATTTTTGTCGCTAGGGCTTTTGAAAAATTTCAACATCTGTATTTACGCTTTTATTTAGTTTTGTTGTGCAAGATCCGCACATCTTAACACAAAGCCCGGAAGGAGAGCACGTGAATCGTCATCGGTAAACACAAAGCGGATAGGGAAAAAAATCAAGTAACATTGCGCACTGAAGTATGATGGTAAACTAGACGCTCCGCTGCATTGCGGTTGACGTGCGGGTTTTCCAGAAGCTTTAATTATATGCGTCCGTCGGCAGCAGGTCGCTAGACCGTCAGGAATTCCGGTGATTTTCCGTGTAAACGCCAGAATGCGAAACGCTCGTGAACGGGTCGTGTGCTGGCCAATGGCAACGTCGCGCTCAGCAAATACCATGTTCACTTCCGGCGATGTCGCGGTACACGCGTGAATTTCAAGTTATAATTTGTGATTAATTATTATTAACAGGAGCAGGATTATTCGCGGTTCCCACCATTTCTCGAGCGCCGAGACGGATCGCAGAAATGAATGAGAGTGAGTCAGGCCTGTCATGTGGGGTTGCCTACTCTGCCGTGCGAAGGAAAAATGCCGCAAGTTCATTCGGGCGTTGTCAAATTTTTACCGACTAAACCCTAATTTTTTCGAACATTTTTTGAAACGCTTCCCTGATTTGTAACAAAATTTTATTCATAATGTCAAAAATTTTACAAGAAAAAGACACCCCCGACTTTTCACCCCAAAAATATTCTGGCAGAAGAAATGTGGTGACTTTAAAATGCATTTACGTCCTTTTTCCGTAGATGGTCGTATTTTACAATGGGTTCATTACAGTTACAGTGTATTGAGGATTTACGATTCGATCATCGATTCTATCATGCTAAGGAAAATCGCCGTATGAGCCTTCAGGCGTTGCCAAATCTCCTTTGACAAATCATTAATTTTCAGGAAAATTTGTGAATATTTTTCTTCTAATTTCTCAGGTGATTTTGTTTGTAATTTGATCTAAAAAGACAGAAAATTTCAAGGAAAAATACTGATAATTTTCCTCAACAATAAACATTTTATCGGAGTCAATTTGGCAACTCTCGAATGTTCATACGGCGTTCTTCCCCAGCACGGCAGAATCCCTGGGTAACATACCGTAATAAACACAATGGTTTTGTCTAAAATCAATTCTCAAGCTTCAAAAAACCCTTTCAAAGCTTATAGAGCGTGATAGTCTAACATTACGCTAACAGCGCTCCCGCCATGTGGTAAAAAGTATCTATGAATATTGGCAAGATTATCATAACTGTGAATTGGATTACATTTTGCAATAAGGAACCACTATTTCTGGTCCATTTTAGAAACAACATACATGCCATTGGTTTCCCATTGCAGATATGTGCTTTTATGGGAGAGCCAGAGAGAGTGGTTCCTTATTGCAAAATATAATCCAATTAGGAGTCACCTCTTTGACGCTCTAAGTCTTTTCTCACCTTGAGTCTTCGGCCCGATTTTGCATGAGGAATCGAACTAAATTCAGAGGAGGGGGGGGGGCGCTCTCCAATATTAACGCAATGTTTCACCACCACGCCCTCAAATTGCACAACCTTTTGTGAGGAGGGAGTTTGTCGTACACAACATAATTTACATCAACATGTTTCATTGCGAAATATTGAATCAGAACAACATTCTGAATGACGAATCCCATCAAAGATCGGAATCGTCCCTTAATTTTCAGAAAGTTTTCGCTCTGGGGAGAAATTGGGTCAAGGGGGTACTGGACCCCAAAGGACCGTCTTTATACCGTGCCCTTGTGCGAATTACGTCTTTTGACGGTTGATATGTGTGAGTAGCTGTTATGGACTTTGAATAAACGTCTATTTCTTCGAGAAAATCTCCAAGATATTTGTATGAATATTACACAACACTTATCAATTCGCGACTAGGCATAACATGACGTAGTTATATTATATCGCCCACTTAGTATATTAATGTTTACAAACAGCTTATGTTTGCTTGCAAGGAAATGCAAGGCGTCAAGCACCATTGAAACAGAGGTGCTTGACGTAGGGACAGCTCAGTGTTTGATATGGTTCATCACCATGATGTTTCTCAGTATAGATTTATCGAATAACATTCAAATTATATAATTATGCACTTTTGCATGTAAAATGTAAATAGTATGAACAGGACTTATCGGAGGTGAAATGGATTATATTTTGCGATAAGGGACCACTATTTCTGGTTCTTCTGTAAAAGCACATTTCTGCACAGGGAAACCAATGGCATATATATTGTTCCTAAAATGAGCCAGAAATACTATTTTGTATTTCATTGCCCGTGCAAGAGAAACGAAAAACTGCCTAGGAAACTTTTGTCGCTCCTTCGCTGAAATGAATCCGAAATTTGCCTGAGTTATGGGAGGCCCAGACTCACGTCGATCTAAACACTCGAGAAAATTTCCGCAAATGTGGGTTAGTTAAACGAGGCCATTTGAAATCTGCTAAGGTCTCATGGTTTAGTTACTAAATATTTTGACGACCTCTTTCCTGAATTCATGTTTCAATCTGACGATTTTTCCAATCACAGCACTTCACTTGAGGATTACGATCGGTTTATGACCCTGCAATTTGTTTACGTGAAATGAAGA